AATATAACGTATATTATATAATAATGGATTTATTACCTATTATCCTTTGCGTATTTATTCCATGGCAGGAAAACTATTTATATTATGTAATAGATACTATGAGTGTTAGCTAGTGTTAACTTTCACCCAACATTATATTAATCATAACTATATATAATCATTATAACCATATCTAATTGACGATTATAATAATTCATGTTGTATAAATTTTTTAAATTTTCAGGCCCGGTTCGGCCCGGGTATATTTTAAAAATTTAAAATACGGTGCTGCCCGTGTACCCGGGCCGGGCTTAGGGCCGGGCCAGCAGGTCTCTGATATATATTGTTAAGCCATATTAAAAATATATTTCATTTTGATTCGTATAAATTATTTTATAAATTGAAACCGTTTTTTAATAAAATTATTCGCAATAAAAATTTTTTTCTTTTTTTCGGAGGTTAGAGGGGGGGAGTTGAAACCCCCCCCCCCCCCTTCCTTATCTACGCCACTGAGTATTTATAATTAGATATAATTTCAATCATGATTAGTAAATTCAGAGCTAGCGAGGTTTGCTAAATAACATTACATTATTCAATATGATGCTAAAATACAAATCTAATAGAATTACAAATGGTCCTGCATTTTATAATATGTACAAACTTCGATAAATTTTTTATATGTCCAAAATGTTTATTAAATTAACTAAATTAAGTTTCAATTTTTTTAATATAATTAGCTTCAATTTAAAAGTATTATAACAATGAAATTATTATATTCGTATCCTTATTAATAAATAAAAATGTATTTCAAATTATTATAACCTAGAAATCCGATGGTTTAGGAAGCCCATTGAAGTGGTTAGCCCTACCCCGCTATTAGGGTTTGTTTTTCTTTGCTTTTATGGTTAATGTTTTCTAATATTTAATTTCTTATTATATCAAATACAAATACTGCATTATTTTTATTTAAAAAACAATTGACTATGTTCTGCTATCTAGCCTAGAGGTCTGCATTGGGCGGGTTATTGAACCAAAAGCCCGCCCATCCAATGTTTAAAAAAAATTTTAACCCGCCCGCCCATAGTTTTAAAAAAAATATATACCCGCTCGCCCCGCCCATTTGTCTAAAATTCCTTACCCGCCCGCCCACTAAAATTTTTTACCCTCTCGCCCATTATTTATAAAAAAATTTTTACCCAAGCCTGCTTATAAAATTTAATTATGGTCATTCTTTCATTTTTTTAAGCATCTAATAAAAATATTTCAGCATTACACCTCTATAAAAAGTTTATAATTTAGGAAATTAATATAAGTATAAAAATAATCAATGTAAATTATGGACAATTTATTTGATCAAATTGAATATTTATGAAAAAAATATAAATGTAAAATTAATATTAAATGTATATAAATTATTTATTATTTTTTTAGATATATTTTCTTTATTCATAATAAAATTTTAAAAAAATTAAAATATATTTTTTTATTAAAAATTATGTTATAAAAAATAAAATTTATATATTATATAATAAAATAAAAATGTAAAAAGAAATTATAAAGATAAACAGGTTAGGGTACCTTTTCAGGGGCAATTATTTTTGTTATTTTTTAATGTTATTTTTTGTTATTTTTTTATGCGATTTTTTGTTATTTTTTTATGCGATTTTTTTTATGTAATTTTTTTATGAAAACTATTGTTTTTATGTTATTTTTTTATGATTGGTTCATTTTCTTATTGGTTAATTTTTTATTTAAGATATCTTTAAATTAATATATCTTTTTTTATTTAAGATATTTTAAAATAATTTTTTCTAAAATTTAAAATTCGTACAATTATTTAAAGGAAGTGATGGGGGCAAATAAGGGGGAAGGCTAGGGGTAAGGGGTAAAATTATTAGATTATGTACAATGCGGGTAGGCTTGGGGTTAAATTTTTGATAGATGAAACTTCGCTATTTAAAATTTATTTGGTTGATTCTTTCTATACAAACTTAATATGATTTCTTCTAAACAAACTTAATACGATTCCTTCTATACAAACTTAATATGATTCCCTCTATACAAACTTAATATGATTCCTTCTATACAAACCTAATATGATTCCTTCTATATAAACTTAATATGAATCCTTCTATACAAACTTAATATGATTCCTTCTATACAAACTTAATATGAATAATTTTTTCTAAAATTTGTATAAAGAATATAATTTTTTTAGTGATAACACTATAATTAAAGGAAGATTCCAAAAATAAATAAAATTTAAGCATAACAATCGAAATAATTTATTCATTAAATTGAAATATACTATTAAAATTTATACAATCATTAATAAAATGAATAAAAACATCAAAACGATTTAATAATCTATATTTTCGAAAATATCTATATTCAAGAAGATATTCATGAATATTATCCATATCCCCATGTCTTTTATAATTTGCCTTTAGATCCCGCCACAGCCTCTCGACTTTTTGAGTGTGGATCGATCTGTCATTTGGATCAACAAAATTTTGCGAATGGTTGATCCGATAGTGGAAATAGTTTGAACTTTCTAGCCGATTATATCTAAGATAAATATATTTACATTTATCACCACTTTTGCTTTATTGAAAAAATAAATTCACATACCCTAACCACGAGTAAGTCATTATCGTGGAATCTTGCATAACATTATCTTTAACCACACGATAGGTGGTATCTTGATCTCTTGTTGTGGTGGCACTTAAAAATTTCTCATTTGTTTCCCGACATATACCACCAATAATCCATATAGCCTCGGAAGTCAAATGCCGACCACTGTTATATTTACGCTTCCATACATGAGTTTCATCAATTTCAATAATTATGGCCAGGCCCCCCGATCTTTGAATGATTCGAGGCTATTTGGAATCCACATACCTTTCGAAATTTTTTAAACCTATATAAGTGAAGTAAAAAACCATATTATACTTTTTACCATCTTGAAATTGCCTTCTTATCATAATCTAACTCTTTCGAAGCAGTTAAAATTTTATAACGGCCTAAAAATAATTTTGTTTAATATTTTTTAAAGAATTGGTACTTATGTACAAGTACACTAGTCTTAAAAATCTCCCAACATCATGAATTCCTTCAAAAATGGAATCTAAAAATTCGTCATTTATGATATATATATATATATATATATATATTAATATTACCTTTTTATATTGAATACGATCTACGACACCTACTGCATCGATATCGTAAACTCTTATTGTTTTTTTCAACCCGCATTACGGAATTGCAACAGGTATGTTGTATTCCAGGCGGTATAAATTGATTATTTAGACAAAAATCATAAGCTTTCTCATCATTTTGAGTATAAACACCAACTTCAAAAATATTCATTTTAAAAAAAATGGAAGGAATTATATAATATATATTGGAACTAAAAAAAAGGGAACCAAAAAAAGATTTATACCAAAAAAAAAATTAAAAATGGAAAGTTTCGTCTACCAAAAATCTTACCCCTTATTTGCCCCCATCACTTCCTTTAAATAATTGTACGAATTTTAAATTTTAGAAAAAATTATTTTAAAATATCTTAAATAAAAAATTAACCAATAAGAAAATGAACCAATCATAAAAAAATAACATAAAAACAATAGCTTTCATAAAAAAATTACATTAAAAAAAAATCGCATAAAAAAATAACAAAAATAATTGCCCCTGAAAAGGTACCCTAACCGATAAACAATTATTACTAAAATAAAATAATACAATGCAGATTGCAAACCCAAAAGAAGGAAATTTTAAGAGAAAAGTTTTATTACATTCCCATAAAAGAAATTTTTAATAGACAAAAATGTTTATTTATTTAAGGAAAAAAGTTTTATTGTTATGTTTATTTTTATTACTTAATATAGTTAGGTAAATGTTCTCCGCTTAAAAAAAACGATTGGTATAATAAAAAAAGAAATATTGTTATAGATCATTTAAACAATTATTTTTTTTAGTTTGTTTTTGAACAAAAATTTTAAATTTCCTTAACCCGCCCGCCCATTGTTTAAATTTCTTAACCCGCCCACCCAGCCCGCCCATAGTTTCAATTTTTTTTTAACCCGCCCGCCTGCCCATTTTCGAAATTTTTTTTACCCGCCCATCCGCCCACCCACTTAGATGGGCGGGCTGAAACCCCGCCCAATGCAGACCTCTACTAGCCCTCCATTTATTAAATAATTAAATGATATGTATAATAAAATAAAATTTTCGTTTTTTAAATAGCCCATTTTATCACATGCCCTAGAGTTATTACACATCTTATATTATTTTTTACTGGTAATTTAATTATTGCAACTTACAAGGTAAGGTTGTTAAAATAAGGCACTACCCTTTTTAATAGTTAAAATGTTAAAAGTACCCTTGCTACTTTTAACATTTGACTTGTCAAAGAAATCATTTTTAATACAAATTTTTAACGTAATTATAATTAGCATTGTTTTACTTAAATAACTAAATTCAAAGAGAGGTTTAATACATTTTTGACATCACTGGAGGATCTAATATCTAAAATAAGGGATTGGTTACAATGAAAAGGCTAGAATAGATGTTATTTAAAATTGATATATATTAAATAAAAAGACTATTAGACTGATGAGTCCTTTAAACTCAATTATGAAGGATGTATCGTTTTTAAGCCAATTTTTAAGAACAGATAAAGAGGATGGAATCTCTCCACTTAAATGACAGATGGGCTCTTATTGAACTCTAGTCGGCAGTATCATATAATAGCGACAGATATATTAATTCGACTCTGAAGGTTATTTTCTCCAATTCGTTAAGAGTATTATTACATTTTTATCATTTTTATATCTTACACCGATTTTTAATAAGTTAGTGCAATATTATACAAAAAAATATTAATTTATCGAAGATTATTACTAAAAGTAAAAGGTAAATATTCCCCACCCCCATATATTTGGGTAAATTATGAAAATGATACGAAATTTAACAAATAAGTAGTTGGATTTTATTTTATTAAAATAATATTTAGTCCTTCAAATTGACGTGTTTTCTTTATTCATTCTCATAGCAAAATTTTCTAAATTGATTTGGACTTCAAATTCGTTGTTTCTTTTATCAATTTTAGAAATGTCATTTAATATAGCCTTAATTTCATCTTGATAATTTCTTTTAAAAAAAAATATAAATGTATACAAATAAAAATTAAAGTATATTAAATATTTTAGCCCATGTTCAGGTTCAAATTGAGATTTAAATTAATTCTGTTTGGGTTCAGGTTTAGCAAAGTAGGGGTTTAGAGTTGGTTAAGACAGGCTCCTTCCAATTTTTTCAAATTTTTATATATAGATTTATCTTGTTTATATTTCAAAATATTACAACATTAGCTTATTCAATATGTTTAAAAATCGACTAACAAAATAATCATCATATTTAAATTTAAAATATTATCTATATTAAAATTCTAAGATGTAAAATATGACATTATACCTCTATTTAAAAAATAAAGCAATTAATTAAAATAATTTTCAATAATATTGATTAAAGATCCTATGATAATATAAATTTCAATGAATAAAATGATCTTTCCACACTGATTTGTGTGGCTAGAACTGCTAGGACCAACCAATAAAGTTTAAAAATTCAAATTATTATTTTTTCATTCTTTCCCAATATTTAATTATATCCTCTTCCTCATCTTGATTCTATCTTGAAGCCAAATATCGAATAAGAAGGCAAATATATGAAAAATGATATCGATTATCATTTAGAATTAGATTTAAAACAACAAATAAATAATAATCCAACTTAAGAAACGTGTTTCTATGTTTCTTTCTCACTTTGCTCACTCGTAATGTTCTCAATTATTTTCCATTTTTTCTGCCTACTTTTTTTATTATTTCATTAAAAGATGAATTCACATCATTTCATTTCCTTAACATAATTGAATTTCTGCATTCTACCCCATAAAATAATTAGATGATTTTTTCTAGAAATTTTTCTACTTTTGATATTAGATTTGAACATAGAATATAGAAATTCACAGCAGAAAATATATTATTTCTAAGATAGTAGGTTTACATATTATCATCAATTTTACTCCATTAATTTATTATTTAATGGTAATTTTTATCCAAATTTGATAAATCTTGACAAAATTTTAAATCCATTGTAGAACTAGTTTTTAATCTATGAAAAACCAGGATTAGTCCTAAAAAATTTTAACTTTTAAAAGTTTTAAACTGCAATAATTCTGAATTTTTTCGACATGTAATCCCATAAACATTAGAATGTTTATTGTTTTATTACAAAAGTATTTTTGTGTCTGAACCAACAGATTTTAAAATAAGCTCATATTTATAATATATTGGCTGAACAATAAGTAACGGTTGAATATGAATAATAGCAAAAATGGTGTAAAACTTATATAAATCATTTAGGAATTTTAAATAATTTTTAAACAAATTACTAAACCCGAACAGAACACCTGTTTTTAAATTTTACAAAGCAAATTTTATAAAGGCCCAGATTCTATATTTACTCTTATATCTCATACACAGGTTTACCGGGTTTGGGAATTAAGTTCGAGATCAATTCATGTAAAATAAATAAAAATATACGAATAGTTCTGTCTAGCTTTTGCCAAAGATGTGTCTGATTCTTGTCTTTTAATTCTCCAGCTAGACAATTCCTCAGTTAGAAATGAATAGTCTTTTTCCAATCTAACTAACAAAGTATTCAGAGGCTCTAAACTCTGCCATATGGAAGTAATTTTGTCAATCATAATTTCATTTGATAGCTCTTTAGATCTTTGCAAGGCAATTCCAGAGCTAGATAAGATATCTTGCAAATTTTTCTAAAAATATATAGTAGTATGTGAATTAAAGTTTGAATCAAGTTACTTCCTTCGCTTTAACGACCGTGGGAATAATATATGGATTTTTAATTGTTTCCAAAACATTTTTTGAACGATCTGAGACTTCTATATCCCCTCTAAAAGGAAAATTATGATAATATATTTTTACGGGCTGAGGCTTAATAAAAATATTGGATCAAATAGGATATTTTTTAGAGAGTTTATTATTAAATACTGAAAATTAATTTGATGGTCATATTTATACCTGCAATTATGTTTTTGTTTAAATTTATTTCTTTTCAAATAAACAATTCAACTAAATGTATAGAGAGACCGGGACAAAACGATTGATATTTTGCATTACCATAAAAATTTATATAGATATATATATATATATATATATGTAGCCCAATCAATTATCTACAAAATAAAAAAAGAGCTCTCTACCTTTAATATATTAGGAGCTAAATAGTTGTGTAAAGTGTGCCATTTTCGCCATTTTCTCCATTTTACCCCATATCTATGGTAAAATGGCTAAGCATTAGGTTAAAGTGGTTAAAATAAAATTGAACACAATTTATTGTTTTATTGAACACAATTTTATTGTTTTATTGAACAAATCTATTTATTACTTTTAATAAGCCAATGAATACAATAAGGTAATATAAAGAAATTATCAAAAATAGTTTGAAGTGTGCCCATTCGTTCAATTTTTCCCATTTGCTGCTATTTTTTTAAATTTTATTCCAAATAACTCACAAACTATATATTAATGTTCCCCTTTGCTTAAAAATATCTTTTTATTTCGTGTATATATTAATATTTAGAAATAATCTTTTTCGAGCATTAATCAGACGAAATATTTTAATAATTTAACTCATAGAAGCCCTACCCCAAGATGATATATATTATACAAATCTTTATTGCCTGCCTTCCAGTTAAGCTATAAACTTCAAAATTAGCTAATTTAAAGAACATGTATAGATAAATTTATTTTGCCAAAACAAATTATACTAGAGGGTGATTTTTATAATTTTTGGGTAAAAAATGTTTTTTTTGGCAAAATATGCCAAACCAGTAAGATGTTCTATAAGATAACGTAGATAAAAAATTTATATAAAAATACATTTTCTTACCAAATTAAAATTTTTATGCTCAAGGGTTAAAAAGTTATTTGCTTTAACATTGTTACCCCTTCAATCCTTTTAACCCGGTCTCCGCTTATAAAATTCCAATATACTTATCTGAAAAATGAGAATACATTCGTATTTATCTAAAAAATTATACTATGACCATCGACATAATTTTGGCCTATCGCAAGATATAAAGTATTATAATATAGATTAACATTCTTATTTAAAATACAAATAAATGGCTATTATTTTTTTTTCAACTGACAATATGGTATGATTTAATTGTTTATCTCATGCAAAACATAACTTTTTATTTTTGGCGATTGATAATTCTTGAACAGGCGTATTATAAGTAGTCTTTTTATCAACCTCGTTTCCAATTTGAATAGCGGTTAAAATCTCAAATTCTAAAATAGAAAAAGTAATTAGAAGTTGAAACTTTTGTGAACTTTTTAATTATATCATAGACTTGAGGAGGTTTATATTCCCTAGATCTGAAAAAAATAACATTTCATGCCATGTCGGAAATTTTATTTTTAATCATTTCACGGCCCAGCTATGAATTAAAATTTTGTTATTTTGACTGTACTTTATAAATTGTTTTTAATAAAAAACATTAGCACTATAATATCAAACGCTAAAATAATATGATTTTCCAACTGATTAACTAATGAATATAAGTAATTTTATTTTTTAAAAATCGGCCCTGCCCGAATTTTGTAAATTTTTTTTAATAGGATCTACCGGGATCTGTTAATAATAATTTACTAGCAGAACGGTTTTTGGGACCAAACCTGCAGGTCTCTTATTTCTATCCATAGACTTATATTATTTTAGATTACTTAACGCCCAATTCTATAATGTTATAAAAATATCTTTTATTTGTTAGTCATTAGAGTCGACTAACAGACTACTAACTAATAGTTATAATCTCGACTAAAAACTTTAGCTACTAAATGAGTTGCCCAAGACTAAAATTATTAATTATATTTATTTTATTAAAGATTTTGAAATCGTAAAAAAACCTAATTTTCTATTAATAAAATAATAATTAACAAAACCATTTATAATTATTTTAACGTCAAATCATGTATTTATGAATTTTTTAAATTTTTTTTTATTTAAATCGCCTATAAATATAAAAATGTATTTTTTAAAATTTCATATTTTAATGAATGTAGAAAATTAAATATATATTAAACAATTTTTATAATAATAATATATAATAAGACAAAGTAATTAAATAATTTCCGCAAGATGAAGCATTTAAAAAAAATTTGATTTGTATTTTCTGGAGAACTCGCTTACCGGGAATGACTTTGATTTTGGTGCCCCCCAAGTAGAATCGAAGGCTATACCCCCGATAGACAACATTCTCACCGATATTGTCAATCTGAATAATTGTCGCCTTTCAACAGACACTAAGTTCGCCAATGAACCTACGCAGAACATAGCCGAGTCCAAGATCATAGTGGATCCATATCTAACCCTTCACATGAGCGATCTGGACCACACGCGCATCCGCAATAATGAAAGTAAATACTTCCGTTATGCTCGCCCACGCGAATCTGATGCACTTTTTACGCTTTACGCAAATCATATAGCAATTTTGGCAGCAGGAGTGATTGAACCAGCGGGAGATGATCAAATACTCTCCCCTTTACGTTATTCCTAATTCCGATGGATCCTCCCAGGTCATCAGCGATTTCTCAGAGAACTCATAGAACTTCTTACATTACCCTTTCAGGCTCAAATCAATACCCCTCATGTCAACCGCTCAAAAAGGCAAAATTTGCTTGCAAAATATGCTTGCAAAATATGCTTGCAAAATAAGCATCAAGTCAGCCTTCTTTTGCATCCCCCTAGCAGAACAGGTCCGACGCATCATAGGAGTACACTTCCAAGGGCAGCCATTTAGTTACAAAGTATTGCCTATGGGTGCCTAATTTAGCTCCTATTGTCTGCAAAGCATCATTTTGGGCGCATGCGCAAAAACAATTGAAAAGCTAACTATAATGTATACGACGACATCCTCGTCTATGGTGATAATGAGTTCTACGTGAAAGGGTCAACCAGATCACATGCACAGTAGAAGGATGAGACCTTACCATTACCCTAAATAAATCGATCCTCGACCCTACGCATCAGATCACATACCTAAGGATACCCATCAAATTAAAGGCCAAGACAATCTCGGCCGACAACAATACTATAAGACGACTTTCGAAATGACTAGAGATTTTCAGAAGAAACTCGTAACAGCATCACCAAATTGGGCGCATTCTAGCCGCTAGAGTCCTACGGGTACCATCACTGGTATTTCTAAACTCTTTTCACCTTACTATGTCACCTTCAAAGGCTCACCTTACCCCGGTGGTAGATACTTACCTCGCTTCCAAAGGCAAAAATCATTATCGATGCCCTGCAGGAGCCAAAACAAATAAGATACCACGCCACGAATGTTCTATATGTTGATGCCTCAATCACTTTGAGATATCGCTTTGGGGCTATTATAATCTATCGGTCTTCTATCAGGAAGCACTCCTTCTCTTCAATATACCTTCGCACGCGATCACATTAATGCAAAGAAAGTGCTAGCAGCAGGGGTAGGAGCCCTGCTCGCGCTGTATAAAGATGGGGCCCAGTCTACCGGATTTTAAGGTATGCTACTTTGTCCTCCAGAAAGGAAGTTCGAGATCCCCTTCTATAGAAATCTTGATTACACTAATCATGGAAAAGATCGGACTAGCTAACTTTACCGCAATCGCACAGAATGCACAATGGGTCCCACCGACGAAAATCAATCGGATGAACCATCAAGGGCTTGGATAGGAGATAGAACTGCTCTAACCTTGACAGCCAAGCAGCAAGTACCTTACTCAACAATTAAAACTTGGAAAACATACTAAACCAAGCTGAACAGGGACGAACACATTAACTCTGTTCGCCATTACCATATTCATATTATTATATTCCTATATCGAAATTTTTGGCAAATTAAATTAATAAAATAACAAGAAGTCATAAAGGAAAATATACCTGTCTAAATTTTATAATGCTAAAAACAAAGGCATACAAAATTTCTAGAAACACGCTACTCTTTAGAGAGTTAAAGGTGTTCGACTATTTCAGGCTATCGTCATTGGGGTCTGTTTGTAAATACATCCGGGTCATGTGAAGGGATACCTCCACCTTTTACGTTCACCCTTAACTGATTCAAGCATAGGTGAATGGATATCGTGAACAATTTTCTGCTTACTAATAGCGATAGAGCAAATATCTTTATTAGGCTTATGGAGATCTATTAGTTTAACCCCGTATAGGAATGGAACAATGGCGAGTAATATGCCCCCCCCCCCCCAATATAATTCTTTCCAAACGTCGCATTGTTGTTTGATGTTGTAAGGTGCGATTAGATCCTGCAGGAATATTGGGCGAAACCCATCAAACCCAGGTGAAAAATCGCATTTGAAGGAGTTATGGTATAAGTTGCTGCAATTAGAGGAGCTTCAGAATAAGTCGGTATTTCATCCTTAAAATCGCGTGAGCGGTGTTTTAAAAGAAGAGCTTAATAAGTTCCTTGGTGGTAGGGAGCCAACCTTTTGTCAGAAGTTGCCAGAAGTATGGCGGATTTAACATTTAGGTTATCTAGTTTTTTAGATATTAGCCCAAACTTGATGAACAGGTCATTTTTGTGATTCTTATTTTTATCTATGTCATCACTTTTAAAGTATGTGGAAATGTGATTAATGGGTAAGAGGTAGATTGGCATTCTTAATTTGCTGTATCATTTTTTAGCAGGATCGGGGATTTGCTATATAAACCTAGACTTATTAAAATAAAAGTTGTTCTTTTGCAAATGACGATTATTTTAAAAAGGTTTTTTTCGTTGAGCAGTCTATTAATATAAGTCTATGTTTATATCAAACATAATTTTTAAAATTGTAATTTTTTTAATTTGGTAATTTTTGTAAAATATTTATAAAAAAAATGATATATCATTGTCGTCCTCAGACTTTATACATATATGAAATTTTAAATTTTTTATAAATTTTGTAAGAAAATAAAGAATAAGATAAAGGAAAAAATCATAAATATAATGAATGTAATATGCATAACAGCTAAAATCAATTAGAAGTTGTATTTAAGTTAGATAAAATATTGTAAACTTATAATTGGTTTGTGTTAAAAATATATTCCCATATTTTTTAATTTATTTGAAAATAAAATTTTTTGACTTGCAAAAAAATTGTTAAATAACATATTTATATAGTATATTTTTATCTATTTTTACAAGTTGAATTTTATTTAAAAACGAATTAAAAAATATGGAAAGTTTTAAATTAAATCTACACAACATTATATATCATTTATGTAAAAAAGTCGTTATACTCTCATTTTTGCATTTGTTTTCTTGCTTCTTAACTTTGTTAGTTTTAAGATGGGATCTATATTCAAGTTTTAGTAAAATATTATATATGCGAAAAATTAAAAATGTTTATTATATTACATAGGATATAATTATACCTGACAATGTTCTTAGGCGCGGATTTGATTGTATTTGGTGATGTGAGTTGTTTTATTGTTTCAATAGAATTTTTTGGAGAAATTCCGCTTATCTTTCTTGGTAAAGGTGTTAAATTAGTAGTTTTAAATGGGGTATATATAGGATTTGTATTGCTATTTTGAATAGAGGATGTCCTACTTCTTGCATCTGCCTGAGTTATTTTTTTCTTTAAGAATTTGATATAGAATATTTTATATAAAAAATATATTATTTGGATTTTAACTTTTTTTTCAATTATTTTGCCAAAGGTTTGTAGTAGAGCATTGGTAGATTCTGGTTCTAATCCTGCTACCATCTTTAAAGCAGTAGTTTTTAATTTAGAATGTGATTCCTTATCTATAATTTTAAATCAATATATAATATTTCTTTTTGCAAACTTGCGAAATCGATTAATTTGTTCAAAAATTCTAGTTTTTCAGCTTTCGACTGGAATAAATAATATTATATATCAATATTTTTAATATAAATAAATGAAACCTTGTTAGTTTTCGAGTCATAATCTTTTGCCGTATATATATTATCGAAAACTTTGTATCTCATATTGATCTGTTGAATAACAATATAAAAATATTTCATTATATTCTATTCGGTCTAAAACTATCCTTGTTTGCAATAATAATTTTCTTACTTTTGAAGTGAAAAGTAATTTTTAAATTAATAAAGAATTGCACGGAATATAATTATTATAATAGATCCTGCGTTTGAACCAAAGTTTTAACAAAAATCATAATTCAGATCAACTTTATATTGATTCTGTTGGGAACTAACATTTGGCTTATAAATATAAGATCTTCCTGGTTTGGATATGTCTATATTCAATCAATTAATTTTTAAATTTAAATTGAATAAATTACAGGGGTGAAATCAATAGAAACACTCTCCCCTTGATATTTCACTAAATTTTATATAATATTTTCAAAAATGATATTTTCTAATTAAGCACAATATAATTTTATTACTTGAAAATAATCATTTATATGAACAATAAAAAAGCAATATCGATACTGTGGCATATTTGAGATACTTAACAGATTCAATATTAATTAGATGAACAATATTGACTTTATAAAATTCAACAACAAAAATGTGATAAATATTTGATACGCGATTTGAGCTAGCCCTATGCTTATATACATAACAGATATATATATAACAGAGCAATGCTTGGTTTCATCAAAATAGCCCATTAAACTGGGATAAAAATTATGGGAAATAATTAAGAAAAGGACCATCCACGTTTTTTGGGGAGGCTGTTGTTACCTGTGGGCGCAAGGGGCAATGCCACTTACTTTAAACGTCCATTGGAAGTAAGAAGATAGGTAAAAAGCCCATGACCAATTAAATAAAAGTTTGATTATGGACGGTGTGAGAACCTTGAACAAAAATATAAGATTAAATATAATAAAAAAAATACCAATATAAAGATCATAATTTATCAATAAAACTAGTTCTTATATAACACTTTAAAGTGAATTAATAAACCACGTGAAGGTTTATACCCATTTGCAAGAAAAAACTCATTATTATTTTAATAAATAAATTATTCCGAGAAAAATAAGGAACAAAAGATTCGTTAAAGTTAGACACATTTATTTACAAATAACTTTATACGGGGATGTTTCACAAAATAGTCTGTTAATAAATTTATTTATAACAAATGTAATAATTAAAATTAAAATGAAGAATTTTGGTGCTTGATCTGAATTTAAAAACACTAAATTATTTATAAAATTTAAACAAAATATAATAAAACAAAAAATATTTTTTTCATATTCTTTAAGAAAAATATTAAAGTTTGCGTTACCGTTAGTCAAAAAAATGAAGCGCATTACTCTTTAATTTTTGAAACAAATGACGAATGACGTTCCTTTTCCTCAAAAAGGGAACGCCGTTAGTAAAGGCGTTACTTTCATCGAATTTACTTTACAGCAATATTGAATTTTGATTTTGGAAATATTTTAACTCATAGATGCTCTCTTCTCATATATTTCATCTACTCTAATTAATGTAGTTAAACTGCTCGATTTGAGCCTATTTTTTTAAAACGGCTAACTCAATATTTTAGACAGAAAAATATAGTCTAAGCCTTGAGACCGTTAATAGATGTTCAATCTTTGTGTCACCTATGAGCAAAATCTTAAGGCTTGCATAAAATATTGAGTTAGCCGTTTTTAAAAATCGGCTCAAAATGAGGCGTTCAACAACACTAACTCTAATTGGGACATAAAGTGTAAAAGAACAAATATTGAATATTTTAGAAATATTTGTATACTCTAATAGATAGAACACACTAACCGATAGTATATAAGCATATTCAATTGTCAATACTATGTAAAATTTGTGAAAAAAAACCGAAAAGTGTATTGATAAAATAATTTGCCAAAAAATTATAAAAATCAGTCTCTAAAGATTTTTTAAGAAAATAATTTAAATGCAAGAGTATAGTCAGTTAATAAATCTGGTGTAAACGCCAAAAATCACGCTAGCGCTGGGGGTGAAGGGGACTGAGGGCGAAGCCCTTCAACCATTTTTGGACGGATTTCTAAATAAAGTCGTGTAAAAGCCACTGGAAATATATAATGAAATTCACAAATATGATTAAATATAAAGTACAAGCATATACCTCTTTTACTATATCTTGTATGAATTTGAAGGGGGGTCTCATCAATAATTTGTTGGTAAGCATTGGATTATCAATCCATTTTCCTAGAATATTTTGAGTATTTTGTATGACTGAATCGTTCATTTATTATTATAGTGGAATCGTATATATAATATTTAAAAAAAATCAATATTTAAATATAACAGGGAGAAAAAAATAATTTACCTTTTACCTATAAAATTTGATAGCGTCGTTAAAATCGATATAATATACATTTGATACAATTAAGAATAATGGTTATATTAAATATAAAATAATATTAGGTGATAGAGAACATCAAAATTTAAATCGTAAGTTATCTGCATAAGAATATAAAAAGCGTGAATCAGACGAACTTAGCATTAACTCTGAAATTTATGCAATATTTAGGTTATTTAATTCATTTTAGTGCTTCATCAGGTTTATAGATAGATTAAAGAAAAAAACATCACTGACAAACAAAAAATTCTCAAGATTGGCAATATATTAAAAGGAAAATGATAAAGCACAGTATATCAGGGTGAACCTGATTTGTATTTACTAATCAATCAGTTTTTTACTGTCAATAAATGTGATAAACAAAATAAATACAACGGCACACCTTAAGTTGAGTATTAAATATCGGATCTTAAATTACGATTCAAAGAATTACGATTCAAAGAATTACGATTCAAAAGTCAATTACATCTAAATACATTAAGGTTTCTTTTTCTTCGGTCCAAAATAATTTTGCTTATGATAGATACTATTTTTTAGTTATATTATTTTTTCGGTTTATTTAAATAAATATATAAGTAAAATAGTCTAAAGCTCATTGTATTTTAAATCGAGTTATATTTTAAAAATTTTTATATGAATAAGGCTCATATAAATGCCAAACTTGAAGGCACAAATTCTAAAACTTAGTACTATTCATTTTAGTTTAATCTTCAATCTGCTTGGTAAATTACGAAATTCATATGAATAGTCAAGATTGAATGAAAAATCGCGAAGCACTAAAGAAATTATAATAAAAAAATTAAAAAAATGAACTAAAAATTTTTACTATCTTTATAAAAAATCAACTTTTTGTCATATTTCAAAATATGAGACCAGATTTCGGCTGTAGATTTAGCACTCTTATAGTTTAGTAGTTGTAGCATAAAAAAAGTTGCATCTTCGGAAAATGTGATATTAATAAGATGGATTAGTTACGATGAAAACTCTCAAGCGCTAAGGTTAGGCGAATATTTAGTAAAGTAATACTAATAAAAAATGCGCTTATACAATTAAAAATAGAAATAGTCAAATGCTGATCCCATACGAATCATAATGTCTCTTGCTCATTTTTTAAAATATTTTTAATATAATTTATGACAATTTTTTTTTGAAAATTTGATTATAAAAGGAAATGTGTCTGTAATATTGTTTATTTGTAGGTTTAAGAAATTTTTTTATAGATATCAATATTAAATTATGAAAATAAAATTTTAACCTAATAATATTCTCCACCTTTATCTACTCAAGATTTAAATACTGAAATTAATTGGTCTTTAAATACTTTTATATCCTCTCAATGAAATTGGATCAGAAATTTGATTTTTTCAATAGCAAGAGTCAAATATTCAAACGGATTGCAAGGCAATAATATTTGTGAATTAGATAGAGCCATATGATTACAAATTGTTCATTGATTTATATCAATAATAAATCTAAAAGTGGTATAAAGATGGTCATTTTGTAATCATTTAATTGAATTAGCGCTAATATCGGAACGATGTTTTTGCCTCGGGCAAATCGATTGCCAATCACAATTTTATAACCTAGATTTAGCCTCAACAGTCTTATATAATATATCGTGAAATTATCGGTCATTATTTTCTCTTATTTTTATAAGCTGTATACTTTAACAATATCAGAGATTTCTGCCAGGAGTGTCACTATTCTTTACAATCTCAGGAGACTCAAAAAATTTTTCAAATTATTTTCAAAATGACCTTTTTTTAGCTAACATTTTCTAATTTACATTCTTTTTTGGATATAAAAATAATTTCAAAATTTTTTGGGGCCCTTCAAACCTTTCAGGCGACTCAAACCAATGCCCATCCCCCGGCCCCTACTGACGCTACTGATTTCTGCTATAATTTAAAATATAATATTTCTAAAATAGGGATACTTCATGAAGGCTTTTCATATTTTTTCAAAAATATTTTATAAATAATTTGCATTTTTTGGCTACCGGAGAATTTGTCCCCCTGTCATCCTCAGCTGGGTACGCACCTGCTCTAGATTTAGTTTAAATCTTAATGTTGTCCAAAGATGTTTAGCCAAAAAATTTTCAAAACTGGAAATCGAATACGGATATTCCACACCTAAACCGAGATGTATGCTTCTGAAATACCAAACTATTTACATTAAAATTTACCACGCGCTTATTTTAGTTCAGCGGTGTCCTCGTTGATTACGAAATATAGGTTCAATTTATCGACTTATTTTCTTCTGCGGGTGGGGGGCAATGCGAATTCGCTAGTCATAAGGCTTTTGGTAGAATTGAGGTGGAAGCGGTTGTCAAATTATTTAAATAGTTTGCAAAAAAATTAATAAACCAAAAATAAATCTGTTTTTTACTAAGTGGCTTGATATTTAAAAAATATAAATCTCGGTTGAGAGATCATTAGTGTAGGTAATAATATTTTATTATGTAAATTTTTTAATATGCTATGTTATAGAAATACGTTGATTATTTTTAAAGTGAATTGTGTAATAATATTTTAATTTAATGATAATGCACAACACGTTCGTCCTCAATTTTTATGATGGTAGAACGATTATATAGTTTAATAGATTTCTGTAATGATTTTATTATAGGAGCATGTGAAGTCATTTTGTCGGAAAATGATTGTTGCCAAATAAAGGACCTAGTGTATTAGTTCCTTTAAAAATAATAATATTAAGATTACAATCAGAACAATTATTTATTTGATTTTTATGGAATATGGATTAGATGCCGATTAGATTTAGAAAAATTTACTGTCCTTTTTATACGAAATATTAGAAAATATGAAAATTCGAGAGCAACAATATTTGCAAAACAGTGTTGTATATGCTTCTATATATTTAGACCCTCCATATCAAGTTTTATTGAGTATTGAGCAAAAACAAATGGCTAAAGACCATCTTAAGGATTTATGCCATACTCAAAACTCCATTATTTACAATATATTGGAGGCTACGACAATACCTTATGGTAGTAGTGATAATAATAATGATAGCAACATTGATGATCTTAAAATTTTACTTTTAGATAGAGAAAAAAAAATCAAATTATCATCAGATAGAAAGGAGGATCTAAAAATGCCTATTACATCGTTAATAGTAAAGTTCTCAGAAGTTAAGAGAATATATTGAAGTATAATAATAAATGAATGAAAAAAAATCTTATTTTGAGTCATATATTTTATGTTCCCTTATCCCAGACCCGAACCCTGGATCCGGGTCTTTTCAAATATTTTTCCTGTACCCAAACCCGGACCATTTTTTTGTTGAAAGGTTCAAATCCCTGCAGAATATTGTTGGTTCTATTTCAGTTTTAACCATTTTCATTTTTTTCCCTGAAACTAACCTTTTATAGATTAAAATTATAAAAATGGTTTAATAAAATTTATATTTTTACAATTTAATAATGAATCGTTTTTTCTTAAAATTCATATTTAATTTTGGTTAGTGTGTAAAAGCGTCTTTAAAAAGCAGGCAAAGTGATAGTGAGTGCACTAAGCGGCAAATTGATGTAGGCAGAGTGGGCCGTTCCCCTATTGTAGGATGTAATAGTGTTAACGGCTGAGTTTTTAATAATTTAAGAAATTTGTCCCAAATATTTATTGTTGACATCTATAGTGGTCACATTTATCGCAGTTAATAATCACGGACATTTGTCGCCGACATTTCCAGTGTTCATTTGATGTAATCATTTGTTGCGATCAATTATAGTGGCCATTCGTTGTAGTCACTTTTCGTAGTTATTTATTGTACTCGTAGACTTTTTTTATAGTCATTTGTCATATATCATTTGTCGTTGTGGTCCTATGTAGTAGTTATTAATTGTGCTTATTTGTGGCGGTATCTGTCGCGCTCTCATCTGTCGCAATCGCGGTCTTTATCGCCGCCATTTAACATTGTTATTGGTAGCATTCATTTGTCGTTAGATCGCAGTCACTTGTGTGATTTCAATTATTTGAGTGGTCACTTGCAGTAGTCATTTATTTTCAATCATATTTTTTTGCGATTATTATGGCGGTGGTTGTTTATTTCATTTGTCAAAATTTTATTCTTGATCCCTGGATTATGTCACAAAGACAAAATGTGCTAGAACATTATATACTCGAACATAATGTTTAGAGAACAAAATGTTCCCGTACATATTTATTCAAACAAAATGTCCTTCAAACTTTAATATATATTTGTTAGAATAAAGTTGTTTTTTTGAGTTAATTAGTCCTAAAAATTATCCGTGTTCGATTGTATTTTGCGAACACGAATAAATATATTATTCGATTAAAATTATTTGCATCTTGAAATTATTCGTATAAAAAAATATTCTAAATTATTTATATTATTGAAATTATTCTTATTATTCGAAATTATTCATAAATTTTGAAAATATTCATTAATATTCAAAATTTTTCATAAATATACAAAATTATGGATAAATATTTAAAATCAAATAAGAGAGCGTTTTTTTAAATTCTGAAAGACCTATGCATCCAATTTTACTAGGAAATTTTGGTTAACTCTATGATTTCAATTTTAAGAATGAGCTAAACAAGTCGGGGTCAACAAGAGTTAAGGGATTTTCTATAAATTAAAAAAGGGACTTTCCTGTTAAAATATGGGATATTCCTATATTTTTCCATAATTCACAACCCGTTTTCGGAATGGTACCTCTCAACTCAGTTCTTCCTCTCGTCTTCTCTTTTTTATTACCTTAATTCCATTCTTATTTAATTTCATTTATTTTATAGTTATAGCCTTGTTAATTGACAATAAGTTTATTGCAAAATACAAAAATATTATAATTTGGATTTTTTTATTTACAAAAAAGGCTATGAAAAAAAAGGTAAATAGGTTTTATTTATTTCGAAGGTATATATAAAAGGCAAAATTATTTTTAAGTAAATAAACTATTGTAAATAAAAATATTAAAATATTAAAACATAAATATTTCTCTTGGGCTTATATCTTCTCCTATATTATTCCAAATTATAAACAGGTATTAGTTTAAATATATTTTTATTAAAATATTTCAATGCATCACTTCTGAATAATATATTGAATAATATATTTTCTTGTGAGTAGGTATATTTTCTAATTACTAAAGATTTTAAAAATCATATACTACTTTAAGTTAGATTAAGACGGGATAGAAACGAAGTAGCATATTATTTTTAAAAATAATTGAAATCCCATTTTAAGAAATATTTAGAATACGAAGATATAAAACAACATCTTTCTTAGAAATGAAAGAATCAAGAAAATTTCGCTCAAATTGGGAGAGAATGCTATTTTTAATTGGTCAGATTGACAAAATTAGTTCAAATTGAGTTTTTCTCATATTTAGGAACTCGCAATTATATCAGAGACATTTGAAAATTCAGATTTGTAAAATAATAATTAAATTACTTAAAATCTATCTGATTATTATTTTATATTATGGCAAAAATTACAAACCAAATTAGCTGATTTTATAATATCTATCTGTGATCAAAATTAGTTTTTTTTCAATCATTATATATTTTGCATAGTAGTCATATTTTGTTTGATCATATATTTATTAATATTCAAAACTTATTTGACTAGAAGCCCTATTTCATATGTAAAATTAAATATAAATGACACACTTAATCTTTACAAAAAATATAAGTTGCTATTTTATTGTACTATTACAATGTTTAATTTAATTTATATGTTTAATGCTTGAAAATATTTTTAAAGATCCAGAGTTGTTAAACCCTACTTTTAAATGTAGCGCGCTACTGCTATCGCTACCCATCAAAAAAAGTAGCACGCTATTAGCTACTATTTTTTAAAAGTTAGCTACTTTTTAAGTTGACTACTTTTTAGACTGCTTTTCGTAAAAAAAATTTAAAAATAAATTTGTTTTATTTTTTGCTTATAATGTATTTATTTGTACAGTATATAATACATAAAAATCATATTTAAATATAGTTACTTTTGATTATAAAAAAATTTATGTAAAAAGATTATAATTTATGTAATAAAAATATCTATTTATGGTAATATTCATTTTTTATTTATTTTACTGTATTTTGATAATAAAATCATTTCGATACTATCATTCCCCAAGTCAAGAGCGATAATCAGAAAGTATAAGTTTCGCATAACTAAATAATCTCTCAACACTAGCACTTGAGGTCAAGGCAGTATTTAATTATATATATATATTTTTTTAATATAAAAAATTATCAAAAATACTCATTTGAGTATTTTTAGATTTTAAAAACGCATCTAGAGGAATTTCTATTATATTAGTATCCTTTATTTCAAAAAATTTTCAATGAAAGTCGTTTTTATGGTTGTAACTAGGGCATCTTTGCTTGGTATGAGACTATTCAGCTTTAACCATGAGTCTATCACGTTGATCTTTAGCATCATCGAAATTGATATAGGCCAGTTTAGTTTAAAATTGGGATGAATCATAAATTTTATTTGCAAGTTATAGTATGTCTAGCAACCTATATCATTTTAAGGGCCAATGTTACAGATCTACTTTTTAAAGTTTAGGGTCTAGCAATGGCCTGTGAAAGTTCTAAAAATATAAATATCAGATAAATTTATAAAAAATTTTTTACCTTCTGTAATGTGTCCAAATATCTGCCGTGGTACATATGTAGGATATCTCTGACAACTCTGCTATTAGAGCATTTTTCATCATTTCAAAGTTATCTGCTATCTCAACCATTAGTGTCTGGTGACATAAAACTGTTGTACCAGGGAATAGAGCTTAAATCATCATGATAAATAATGAATTATCAACAAAGGACATTGGCTGAGCTGTAACAATTATAAAGTCGACAATGACTTATTCAGCCAGTATCTGAGAAATAATAGCATGTGCAATATTATTAATCAATTTAGCTTAAATTGAATTGATTTTGGATGTAGTCTCCTCTATATTAAAATTATTACTATGTTTTTCTACCTCTTTAAAACTGTTGGCATGAACATTTTTATAAAATAAATATACTATTAGAATTTAAAAATGACAATTTTCCTTTAGGTGTTTTTTGAAGTTATAGCTTAGATTTATTTGAGAATATATTTTTTTACATTTTCAACAAATAAATTTGTAGCCACCATTTGTTTTTACATAAATTTGAAAATATTTTTCAAATTTTGGAAATGGAATTGTGTATTATTGTTATCAAGAACATTTTCTTCCAGGGTACCTTCCACTTCATTAATATTATAATTGTCTGACTCACTTACATCGATTTCGATATTCATTTTCGATGACATTTTGAATAATTTACACCCAGATGTGATGATTTAGGTTTATAATACAAATTGAAAATATAAATTTCAATTTCAAAATAAGTAATAAATCATAAATCATAAAAATTATAAATAATTATATTATATTAAAATTTTATATTTTTAAAAATTAACGGAGGAGCGAGTTACTTAGCTACTTTCAAAAAAAGGAGCACGCTATAAATTAATAATTGGAAAAAAAGTAGAGTTCTATTAGCTATAGCTACCAAAAAAGATAGCGTGCTACAGTAGCGCCCTACAAATAGCGCGTTACTTTAACAATCTAGATTTAAAATAGTAAGTTTTAAAGTTTATTTTATAAAAAATAATTTTGATCATATAATGGTATAGCTTTTTTAAAGTCAATGGTATTCTTTTCATAGGATCTTTAATTTTTTTTAAATATAAATAATCTTAAAAATAGAGAAGACTAATCTAACTCCTACCCACACTATTTTTTCTTTAAGGATGGAAAGGTAAAGACCTCTGTTAACTTTTTTGTCCTGACATTTGTAATAAAATGGGTTTTCAAGACATTTTATTTAGACAACATATATTTTCATTAATAAATCATAAATAAAATATTATCCTTATAAAAGACCTGATTAATAATGTGTCTTTTTATACAACAAGAATCGACGTAATAATGTTGATACTTTTACTAGTTGATTAAATTTCATCGATCGTTAATTTTAATTTCAAAAAGATATGAACAAATAATAATAATATATCAAAATACTTAAAAACTTAAACAGTGTTAGAGTAATCTTATTAATCCTAAAGATATATTTTTAAGTAAAGGTTAAAATATAACTTTATTTCGAGATGAGCTGAGCATATTTTTAGTTAGGATTATATCAATCATAAATAAGTATTTATTTTTAAATTATTACAAGAGATTTTGTAATTAGTTAGATGGGGTTGCTACCAAAAAAAATACGAATGGGAAAATAATGTATCTCCTCTCCTTCTCAATAAATATTTATCATATTTGTATGTTGGATTTGATTAGTGCTGTAAAGTAACGTAGATGAAACGTCGTTACTAAGAGCGTTGCCTTTTTTGATGAAAAGGAACCCATTCGTTACTTATTCCAAAAGATACCGAGTAAAGAGTTTTTTAAAAGTTATTCGTTACTTAAAATATTTTCTAATAAAATATGGGGAAAATTTATTATATTTTATTATATTTATTATGCTTTTTAAAATTTTAAATAATCTAAGCCGAGTTTTTAATTCAAATCAACCACCGTTGTTCTTCATTTTTATTTTATTTATTACATTTATATTGTTGAATTTTCTACAGTTAAGATTGTTATTCAAATTAATATGTATTTAGTCCACACTTTGTAAATGTAGATTGCAAAGGCGTAGCCAAAATTTCTTGTGGGGTACTATTATGTAGACCCCCCCCCTACCCCTTCGATATTATTGAAGTATTTAGACCCACATTGTAGGTCCTTGGCTCTGTTTTTTTATAAAAATAATATTTTTTAATAAAAATGCATTTTTTAAAAATAATTTTGAATTATAGCCGTTATTATTAACTTTTACTGATTTTTTCAAATTCTTGTTCATTTCTAGGAGGGGGTGGCCTGGGTAGAGGGAAAATATTTATTAGCTTAAGATAATATTTACAGGAACAGACAAATTTCCGAGGGGGGTCCCCCTTGCTACCCTCCCCCTGGCTACGCCTATGGTAGATTTACCTTAATTCAAATATTTAAACCTAGATGCCTATCAGCTCAAATCTAAAAAGTCATATGAAGATAAAAATATGATTCAAATTAAATTCTGATAAAGATAAAAAAATTTGATGAGAATCTGAATGAAGATTCTTGTGAATAAGTTTTTTTTGAAGATAAACATTTTAAAATATTTTTATTGAATCTCTAAATTAAAATTCTAATTATATTCCCACTCTCTCCACCAGTTTTTTGCACCGCAAAGGCTGTGTTGAACACTAAGGGCTCTTTTTTATCTGATCAAATTTTGAAAATCAATTGTTAAAAATAAATAAAAACTTATTATAAAAAGAACTTATCTTATAAATTATTTTTATCTACAGAGAAAAAAATAAACAAAAAGCAAATTTATATATAATATAGTATTTTTTTAAGTAAGCTATATGCGTTATTATATTTGAATAACGAGTAACGAGTTCCTTTTTTTCCCAAATGTAACGAGTATAGAGTAGCGCGTTTCTTTTTTTTAAGTAAGGTTTACAATATCAGATTTGATACATTAATGATATAGAGCAGTTATATTTATTATGATAATGTGATATTCGATCCATTTTTAAGGTTCAAATCAAATAGATTTCAGGTTGGTACTAAACCCACCAGCGGTTTTGTGAATTTCTATATTTCAATATATATACAAAATTGTCCAGTCGATTTATTATATTTAAATGAAGCCTTTTCTTATTATTCTATACATCCACCTAAATAATTAATGTTAGCCATAAAGTCTATCTATGTATTCAATAATGTTTCATTTCAAGAGACATGGAAATGATCAGAAAAATTTTAGATATAATTTAATATTTTTCTAATAATCTTACCATAAATTATAAAAAAAATCTAATGTGATATTTAATACAAAACGAGTCGTTTTATTAACAGTGCCCTATATTTATAAAAATATAAATTTATAATAAAATACTTATAAAACTTATTAAATTTTAGGAGGAGACAACGCAATAAAATTCAAATGCCATCTAAAAGCATTCCATGCATTTTAAATACACCACAACACAATTTAAGCCTTTATTACAAATTTTTAATATTTTAGCATTATATTTCTAAATTAAAAAATAAATAATTTTTCCAAGTAAATTTCATATAATTTTGAGTTACTGCGAAAAGAATTATATGAAATTTGATGAACTCACAATATGTAAAAAATCTATTTATTTTTCATTAATAAAATATTTCTTTCCCTGAACGGAAGATATATTTTATCTCCAAAGGAAGATTTAAATGACTTGAAATGGGTTGCGATTAATAAATTCATAGAACAAAAATTTCTTTAGGATAACAAAAGATTAGTGTTAATAAGACTAACATATAATAATAAAAAACAATGTGCATATGTTTTCAGAGATTTAACCATTACGAAAGACTTAATGGTAAAATCTATTAGAGTATTTTTAACTTATGAAAAGTTTGGTGGAAAAAATATTATTTTAGCCTTTTAAATGTAATGTGCATAAATAATTAGATCCGTTAAACTTGATTTAAAAATAAATTTTAAATACTATAAATTTTTAGAATCCTCATTAAAAGTGGGATGCGTGAAATAGAATTTATTAAATAATCGGAACCTAAACCAAATAAAAAATGAATATGATTCTTAACGAATGAGATAGACATGAACAATCACTATTTTTAAGATATTTTCTTGAATTAAATTATTGATTTTAATTTTTTAGAGAATTTGTTTATCGAACATAATTATGCGAATACTGGAAACGTGGTCTAATAATTATACAAGGCAGGTGACGAATTACCCTAACATAGAATGCTCTCAATTGCAGGATCAAACTTCATTTCCAAATGAATTTCCTTTTGATAAGAACATTACCACCATTATTCCAATACAAATTGCATCCATAAACATGGTAGGCAATCATACTATACCTATCCAGATAAATAAGTAGATTTGATTATTATATATTTTTGTATAAATTTTTTTAATTAGCTTCGTTTTTATTATCGTTCATATAAAATTTTAAAACATTTTTATCATCCGTAAAACGTAATTTGGAAATTTTTTTTAACTTTTATTTATTTAAAAGAAGTTAAAATTTTCATTTTTTTAGTTTCTCGGTCGGGTTTTAAATTTACAGACCAAGTCTGGCCCTATTTTTTTATAAAAATTTAACCCGGTCTGGTCCGGGTGTATAAAATTATTTTTATAAAATGGGTTTTAAAAAAATTTTTTTTAGCTCGATATAATATACGAATTTGGTAATTTACAGTTCGTTTTTCAGCGAATATAAATAAATCTAATAACTTTTGAAATTATCCTTATTCTTAAATGAAGATTATTACTCAATACCAAAGAAAAGGAGTACTTGGCGAAATGCGTTTTATTTTGTAATGTGGTATGGTTGATTGACTAAAAATAAAAATTATTATATAATTAGTCCACTAAATTAATAACTATTTTATTTACCTTGAATAACATATACAGTATATAAAGTACAAATTAAAATTATTTACATAAAAATAAAAATTATCAAAATTAGTGAATAATTTAAAAACAATTTTACTTTTCTTTTATTAACAAGTTAAGTATTTTCTAACGAGAGATATAATGGTTTTAAAATGTAAATTGGAATATGTGAAGTGCATAAATGTGATATATTACTCTATAATACAATTTTAAAATATTCGGTCCGGGTTTATAGAAAACAAAAATTTTAGGCCCGGGTTTATTAATAAAAAATTTGCGGCCTGAATATGCCCGCTTTTTTATAAGCGACCGTTCAACGCAAACATATCAATTTATGCTAATAAACGACAATTGTGAACGAATTTGTTTTTAAAAAATGTTTGTTTACAGCACTGGAAATTACTATATTAATTCTATTTATACTAGATACAAAATATTAAGATATTATTTGGAATTTTTTATATAAATGACAATGAACAAAATTACAGAATTTAATATTTCTAAAGTACAATCGAGCCCGCAATTAAATTTAACCAGTCTATTTTTAAGACAATAGGTGAGGCACTCCACAGGACCTGTAAATTTTATAATGATTTAAAGAAAATAAATTGCAGTAAATTCTAAAGTATTTTTCTTAAGATATTAACAAAAAATTCACGATAATCAGATTTAAACAATATACATTAAAAATAAACATATTATTGGGATTTTAATCATTTTATCTATAAAAAATTTAGAGCCTTATAAAATATTTGGTAATTTCTCAAATTTTTTTATAATTTAAAAAAAAACTTATTATTAATATTTTAATTAATAATTATATAATGAAATATGGATTATTTTAAAAACAAAATAAAAATATATTATGTTTTATTATGATTTATGCAGACAAGAACAGCCATACATAAAAAATTATACTAACGGTACCAAATTATCAAGAAATAATGTATCTAATTTCAATGAAAATAGTCTTAACAGTGATCTATATGAAATATCATCATTCGAACGTTTTGAAAGATTTGCAAAATCAGTTATAAATGACAGTAAATTGTCCTTTATCAAAGAAATTCCTAATTTTATATCCCTTGGAGATCTATTCCATTCTCGTGAATACTCAAATCCTTTTGATTTTAATAATAATGAACCAACAAAAGTTTTAAGAAGCTTTAATCCTAATTGTAGGAACAATATAAAACAGTCACACAATTTTAACCATATTGAACTTCATAACATGGATAGTAATACTAACAAGGCACCTCTCAAAATAAAGTTAGCTGAAAAAGTATTTCATGTAAATTCATTGCCAATAAGGATAAAGAATATTAAGAGATCATATTCAATGCGCAATAATTTCTTAAAAAATGGTGATAATTATCCATCCAATACAATTTTGAGTGATCATGTGCATAATTGCAAATTATTTCCTAATGCATCTCATGAATCGCCTAAACAATTCACTAAAGTTGCTCTCGATAATTTCAGATCAACCCCTACATCAGGAATAAGTATGTGCAAAGATTATGCTTCAAAAAGAAGTAAACACAATTGTAGAAAGCTCAGCACACTATCCTTAACTTCCTCAGATTTATCATCAATTGCTAATAATAATAATAATAATAATAATAATAATAATAATAATAATAATAATAATAATAGTCATAACAATAAATGCCAATGTGTGTTTCCAGATAGAAGTCTCGAAACGAAAATCAATGTTGATAGTTGCAAATCAAATCAAGAATTTTATAGTATACCTATAATATCTGATAATTCTGATATCAATAATATAAATCATTCCACTATAGATTTACCAAATATAAATCAACGCTCTTCAATAACGTCAACAAATTCGAATTTTAACGTGAAAAATTTTAATACTGAGGAAATGACTTCAACTAACGACGACTCAATTAACCATGAAAGAGGTTTTGCCATTAGATACAATAAAGGTAGTACTGTTATATTGAAAAGTCAAAATATTAAAAACTATCACGATATAAATGATCCAAATTGTAATGTAATATGGCTTAAAGACGGTATCAAGTTTTTTTCAAAATCAAACAAAGATAATCAAGAGGTGCTCATTGAAAATAGCAAAAATCCAAGATACAAGTATACTTTTGAATACATTTAAAGATTTAAAGCATACTTCTTAATAGGGTTGAAAATATCAACAATCATTCTGTTCTGATAATTATAGATACTGTGATTGAAGATTCAGGCATATATGAATGCTTTATTAATAAAAAAACGAATGATAATCAACATCCTGTGTCAAAACTATGGAAAATATTAATTGAAGGTATATCATAGGGTAAATGGGTAGTTTTTAAAATTTAAATCATCTACTTGTCCATGATTGATTTTACCTTGATTTTATGGTCTTGTCCAAGCTTGATTTGGGCTTAAGATAAAGCTAGGGTTCATTTTTTCTATATTTTGTCTAAACTAGATTTCGCCTATTAAGACATGATATGAGCTAAGGATAGTATTAAATTTAAAAAACATAGATAGCCCCATTATATAAAATATTTCTAAAATTAATTTTTAAATTGCATAAAATTTTATTTAAATTTCTTTAAAACATAGGTTATAAAATACCCAATTACCTACTAAAGTTCAATAACTTGTTATTATTTCTCTAGATAAAGACTTGACTGCAGAAGAAAACTTGCCCCAAATAGTTTTGCCAACTTTAAAAAAGTATAATAACGAAATAAAACTCTTAAATTCAAATTTTAAAATAATTAATATATCGGACAATTCATTTTAAGATTAACATTTTTCATCGGTAGGAAATTTCAAGATAGATTTTGTAAATATAAAAATTAAATATAAAGTGGTTAAATTAAAAATTTTCTAATGATAGTATTTGTTTATCAATTATCAAAATGAAATATTAAGATGGTTTTAAAAAATAATAAAGGTAACGAATATAGAAATATGACATTGAATTGAATATTTAAACATTTCAAGGTACAAATTAAATTTCAGAATATTAAATTTTTTCATATTTTATCATACTAAAATAAAATGTTGTAACTATTTACACCATCATCGGCTATAAATTTATTTATATGACCTTAAAATTACTTAATTAATCATATTTGGCTAAATTATGTCGTTGATTTAAAATGCTTTTTCTAGTTACTTTTACTTTTTTAATAAATTTTATTATTAACTTATTATATAATATAACATTATAGAAAAATATAAATTGATGATTATCATAATTTCGAAATCTAATATAGATTTTAAAACAAGTTTTTGTTTTTAATGTATATATTTTTATCCAACATTTATTTCTCTATCATATATATATATCTAAATTTAAAGCCATTTGAGACATTTAAACATTCTAGTAGCAATTTCCTAAATTATAACTTTTTTATAAGGATGCAGCGCTGAAACTAAATTATTATTTGTATTAGATGCTTAAAAAAAATAAAAGAATGGACTTATTTGAATTTTATCTGGGTGTGTGTTAAAATATTTTTATAAATAATGGGAGGGCGGGTAAAAATTTTTAGACTAAAGAGCAGGCGGGTAATGAATTATAGACTAAAGGGCGGGCGAATATATATTTTTAAAAACTATGGGGGTGGGGTTGGCCGAGCGGGTTAAAATTTTCTAAAATTATTTGACAGGCGGGCCGGTCCATTGCAGACCTCTAATATAGATACCCTAAAAAGAGTTAATTATTTGCATAAAAATATGAATAAAATAAAAGTTATATTCAATAGAATCGTAGTTATAAAATGGAAGGAGCAAATCTTTATATTATCAACGAAGATATCATCCTTTATAATAATTTATTTTTAAAACCTTTAGTAAATTAAAATGATAAAATAAATGGGCGAAAAAGATTCTGGAGGCATTTTTAATCCTCTTTATCAAAGTCGAAATCAGCCTTAATTATATATCTGGAATATTTCGCAATTAATATGAAAATTTATTTATTTGTGCGATATAAAAAAAATTCTTTAATTGTTATGATATTTTTTAATGTAATAATAATTATAAAATTTATTGTAAAAAATATTTAATACTTATTTATAAATGTGTAGCCATTTAGGCCTACAAGAGGATTTGGAAACAACCTCATCTTTTAAGACTCAAATATTGAGTTTCCAAATTAAGCATCCACTTTCCGATGGTGCCCTTTACTAAGCATTTGAGTAATCCAAACTCATTAGTTTAATTTTCTGCTTTCATGAAGGTATCATTATTTTAACCGTTTTCCTAAATTTATTGTATTATCATGCCTATGGCATATTATATTTATAGAAAACTAATCCTATAAAAATTATATAGTGAAGTATATTATATCTAGGATTAGGAATACTGAAAGAACTATCCCTATTATAATAGATGCCGAATCCCCGATACAAGATTGTTCATTAAAGCAAAGTAAAAGAATGACGATCAAATTCGAAGGAAAAACCGAAAATTTTGTAATTGAATGGACCCACAACCTACAACAATTAGTTACTAGTTAAGCCATATAATTAATAAGCATGTTGATTTTCAATCGAATTTTTTTAAATCAAAATGACTAAATTAAATAGTAAAATATTAGCATCTTAACAAACCTACCTGTTTTTATTAATATGAATAAATTTTATTATATAAATAACGAGTTATTTGTATCAATGTTAATTAAGAAATCTGTTTTTAATAGATTTTTTTTAATCTTTAATAGTTTTTTCTAAAATGTGGAATATATTTGAGCTTTAAGTACTACTTTGGATATACCATTTGCTTAACAGTTTGAGTTCATAATTATACTTATAATAAAATAAGAGATTTGAATTTATATATTTCTCCAAATCAAAAACAATAATATCTAATCTAAGTTTTTTTAAATTCTAAATTAATTATATAGAAAGTTTCAAATAAACAGATACGTAAATCTTAAAATTTAATTATTGTTGTTTAGTCTTTTTCATTGAATATTATACTTTGGATTAACCTATTGTATTGAATTAATAGATGAACAAGCTCGCATCGAAATAAACGATAACTATACCGCAGTCTTCATAAGTTGTGTTGGCATAAATGATTGTGGTTTATACACTTGCAAATTGACTAATAATTATGGTTCAAATTACAACACTACACTATTAAATATCAAAGGTTAATACTTTGATAGCCTAATTTTTAATTTGATAGTTTAGGTTAAGTTTAATCCTATAATAAATCGAAATTTTATAATTGTTATTTTAAATTCATCTAAACAAATGCCACTACTTTATAGATTATTCCATAATTTCTTTAATAATTAGAATAATATAATTAATCACTCATGTAATGGTGTCAATATTATTTATTTACTTTATATGTATGAAAATGGCCTATATGCTAAAAAAATAAATAAAATTTTTTACTTCAAAAATAATAAGGTAGCAAAATTTCCGTTTTATTTTCAAAAGATTTAAAAATTTATTAATTTCATAGTGCTGAATTTTTAATTCATTTATGTTTCACGCGAATAAGTTATTTATTCCCAAGCTCAATGATATAGAAAATGTTGAGAATTTAACAAATTTAAAAAAAAAGCAGAAAATGAGATCTAATAATATTCGAAAGTTAGGTTCTGTACCACAGGCAGCTAAATGTGAGTCAAATTTTGACTTTAGACCCAATGGGTTTCAGGATAAAGATATTCAATTTATCTTTCCTTTATTTAGAAATCAAACTTACGACAGGTATATCAAAAAACAATGGCAAACATTTGTGCTTAAAAATGTTAACGATCTTGGAAGAGATAATGCAAAATATGAATATCAAAAAAATTTGAATCAGAAAACATACGAGTTTCAAAACAATTCGGTTAAATCTCTACAACAACATTATTTTAAGGATTTAAGCATTTTCTCTAAAAGCAAAGCCTTTTTAATTTATCCTAAATATAAAAAATCCTTTCAAAATTTTACTAATTTAGACGAAAATCAAGCTCAAGCCGAAGCCATTCTAGAAAAAATTAATTTTACGCCTAAATTTAGTAAACATTTTGTCAATCCCTCAAATTCTTGGTTGTACTTTTGCGAAGGAGATTCTATTCATTTGGAGGCCAAAATCGATTTTTTAAATATGGATGGCCAATTACTAGACTATTATAAAGAACAACACCTGACTAAGGAAAATAAATATTATTTCATGGAATGGTCACACAATGGAAATATAATAAATAAAGGTGAATTTTATTCATAATTATTTTAACATTCATCTCTAGAATATATTTAAAGGATATATATTAAATTTAGAAATATATATTTGTTTATGAATTCCCCTAAATCCTTGCTGAGAACAGTTGAATGCAATTGGTTTCAAATATATTTCTCCACCTAATTTGCAAACTAGTTAATAGTCTAGCTAGTTTTAGGTAAGTTAAGCTATAATCTATATTAATTGTTTTATGTACCATTATATTGTTTACTTTCCACTTTAATGTGTTTTATATAGAAAGAATAGGATAGTAAAACCGTCTTTTTTAAGCTCCCTTTAACATATGGTAATTTTCTTAAGGTGAGTGATTTATGAATGACTCCTACCTAGAAATAATCTGAAATTTATATAATTAAAGCTTGGCTTCCATGAGTCATCTAACTATTCTAATTCATTCTGATCAAAAATGCGTTTAAGAATTTAATAAATCGCTTCTACTCTTATACCGGTAGTTTGTTTAACCAAGCATAATTTCTCAACGAAACCTATCATCCTCTATAGTATTCTTTTACGAGAAGGTTTTATTAGTTTTTAAGCCAGTTTCTATATTTTAATCATATATACGCAACGCAATGTCCCTTGTCCATAAAATATTGCTCTTAAGTTCTCGGTATTTTGGTCACTTTTAGTAAATGTACTGAGAAAAGAGATAGTTAAAATAATCAAAGTGATTTACTACGTTAATATCAATAAGGAAGGATCCAACTATAGAAATATTTTTTTGTGACCTTTTACATCAGACTTATTATAATTATGTACAAGCCGATTCCCCATATACTCTTTTTAGCAGAGTTCCTTAAACTCCTTTCTCAATTAAATCATATACATAAATTCATTTACATAAGTGGTTTAAACCTAAGTTTTTTAATGAAGAACTCAATTGTCAATAAAAAATTTGTTAATAAATATTAATTAATTAATTTTTGTAGTTATCATTTATTGATTATCTGCAGTTAGTGTTATATTTTATTTCCTTTATATTGTGCAAATTTTTATCAGTGGCTAAATTATATGATTTTGAGTGATGAAGGCAAAGATACTAATTAATAAGAAGAAAATAAAAAGGATGAAGATATTATGTTCAATTACAAAATTCATTTCAATGTAAAAGATAATTTTAATATCTGCAAATATTGTTCAACTTTTTAAAAAAATATATTCATTAAATAGAAATATATTTCATATTCGTATTCATTTTTTAGAATTTCAAATATTTATATTTTTAAAAAAGTTAAATTATTAAATTGAAAATAACATTTTCTAGTCAAAAATAAGATATTCTTAATAATAGCTTAATTTCAAATGGTTATGGTATGGGAGAAAATAACAGATAATGAATATATATTGAGGAATTAATAGCAATATTTATTGCATTTGTAAATAACACATTGCACTATGGCCAATATAAAAACGTTTCTCTATAAGTGTAACAGATCTAGATGGATCAAATTTGAAGAAGGAAAGATACATCATTTATATAAAATACTTTCCGTATCCGCACTTATCAGAACGCAGCGTCTTACTGAGGAAAAAATTGAATGCAATAACTGTTTTCTTCCAACTAAAGGATTAAAATTCTTATACGTTTCTAACACCTTTCTGGTGAATGTTAAAAGTCCTTATATAATAATGTTCTTCATATAATATAAATTCAACTCTGGAATCAGAAAGTAAGATAAATATTTTGTATATTTCTGAAACGGATTTGATATTAAATTACGATCTCACCTCCAATAGAATTAAATTGATAATTTAAAGCTCAATTGACCTTAAAAATATTTTACTCAAGTATAAGCTATCATCTGATCAGCGCACCTCAGATCAAGTATCTACCTCTGAAATACTATGCCATTTAAAAAAATAACAATTTATATATATTGACAATATGGATTTTGGTTAGTTTTAATATAACATAAACCCATCTTTCAACTGTCATCATTTGCTTAGATTAAACGTTAGTAATTGTGTTTACCTCAATAGTACATTTCATCCACTTTATTTTATATAAGTCAGTAATATATTCCTTATGACCAACTTTACACTATTTAAAATAATACTTGCTTTAAGCCTAAAAGTTAGATTTAAGATCCCATCATCTTTTAAAGTAATTAAGTGAAAGTGACTATTGTTCGTCCAACGTATTCCAAGTGTATCCCTACTTCTCTACTTATCAGTTATCTCTATCCTTTGAAAATTTTAAGCATTATAGATTTAGCGAAAATTGGTCACTTCTTTTATCAACAAAACCAATATTATACATACATATATATACTAGCCTGCTATAATGGAATAAACATGAAGAACCAACCTCGTCTGAAAATTCCAGGCTCTCTCATCATCGCCAAATAGACCACTTTCTCTGACTTACCAGTTTGTACCTAATGACAGTGCTCATCCTATTAAAATAAAATTTCTCATTCCCATGACGAATATTCAAGTAAAAATACCACAAATCGGGTGATAGATATTACTACACTACATTGCTATATCTAAGAATGAATAAATGACTGAGCAGGAAATACATGGTACCGTTAGCCTAATATTGTTGATATACCACCCAGCGTTCAGTACATAGTTAGCCAAAACAAGAGAGAAGTTAAAAATAGATAGTTCGGGCAGCTTAACGGATGTAATGGGTTGGTAATAATTGAAGCCTGCATTATATTGTTACATTAAATCAATTTGTGATAGGCAAAAGAGTTTGATCCAAAATCAAATATAATGGTTTTTGTTAAGATTTTTCAAGCATGGCTTAAACAAAAATGAGAAGAAGTGATAGCAAATAATATACTTTTATATATTTTGAAAACACATAGGTTGAAAGTTCGAACAGAACTCCGCATAGGAATATAAATTCATTTGGTATAATTATAACAAAGATATATTAATATATATTAATTTTTTTAAATATTATTCCTTATTTAATGTACTGTTTAATGATGAATTAATTATATAATAGTCAGCTAAGCAGGATTCAGAATTCGTCACCACCAATCGATATTTGATAAAATCCGTCATGTATCAAGACAAAGTTTATTTTAACTTATGTATTACCTTCATTGAATAATTATTTCAATAATTATCGATCTAAACCAAGATATATTTATTATCCTAGCCTTGCTTCTATATAGAATAATATCACACTCCTTTCAAAAGATCACGAACTTTAAAGGCATAATTAATATGTGAAATACCGATATTTTGTTACTCAATGCCAGGCAATACCAGTATAGACTAGTGTCAATTATACACATCAGGAAGAATACTCTCGATATATTAATATAAAATGCATCTAGTTTTAAAATATAGAGGAACAAACTTGAGGAAATAAAAAATCTAATTTCGGAAAGAATTCATTTTTTTACTCAGTTACTAGCGGAAGAATCTAAATTTTTATATTTCCAGATATTTCTTAAATTTTCCATAATTAGCTAGTTTTAAATCTTTCATATTAAATCTACAATTGCATAAAAGAAAACTAAGCAAAGATTGCTAAGAAGATAATATATATAGAAAAATTCTATCTCAACATATTAATTTTGTTTAAAACAAGCAAGAATATGATTAGTTAGAATGCAGCAGAATGATAATATTTTTAAGGAAGATTATTATAAAGAAGAAAAATCAAATATTATCAATTGTAAACTTTTGAATTTTTGATAATTAAACTAAAATGATCCATATTTGGATTTTTTATTTATTATTCATGGGGCTACATATTTATAAATACCGATAAATAAAATTTTATGGGGCGCATCAGATGGTTATAAAGTTTTTTGTTATAGATTCATAAAATTTAATCTTCTGTTTATTACAACTCATGCAATAGCTTTAGCCAGTTTGTCATGGGGAGGGGAGTTAGGATTTTTTTATCCTAAAATATATCAATAAAAAATTTAGGAAAAAAATATAATCTAAAATTTACCGAGATTGAAGTATATAACTCGAATAAAAAAATTAGGATATGGACCCTAGAGAAAATCTCTACAGGCTCTGGTGCTTATTAATTCTTCAATCAGTTTCCCCAGCCTCAAAACAAAGTTAAACAAAATAAAAATTATGACATCACATCAGTGTAAAGCTGTTGAAACACTAATTCTGAAGCTTTTATCAATATTTAATGCTTATTTAGTACATTTTAGTACCTTAATCCGTTTAGTGGACATTTAATTAAAAATAAGAAAATATGGGCAACATACCAGAACAGAAAATACAGAAGAACTAAAAACGATTGTAATAAATATTATTTTTATAAAAAAAATTATAAATAAAAAATATTTTTTTTCTTTATTAAAATAAATTATTTTTTTATTACAATCAAAAGGTAAATTTAAACAATTGGTAAATATTTATACATTCAATTGAATGAAATTCATTGTAAACTATATATTTTTTTTTTACTAAATCATTATAAAAAATTAACTTTTTATTGAAATTTAAAATGTAATTAAATTTATTCCTAACTTCATATTTTTGGAATCTTAAATAAAAATCAAAAGATAAATACAATTAAATCATTTATAAACTTTAATAAAATAGGAAATTTGTATACATTTATAAAAAAATAAGTTAAAAATTATTTTACGTGATACGTGATATATAGCGCTTTTGCCCTCTAGTGTTGAAAAACAAAACTACGCTAGGTTTTACTCATTTCCATCTAATTGGAACTAATTTAATTTGGAAGTAAAAGTAAAAAGATGAGGAGCCCTCCAAACGTTGAACAAGCCGTATGTACTTGTACGCGCAATATTTCAAAAAATGTTGCTTAAAAGTTAAAGGCTTAATAAAAAAGGGTGGGATTTACATTATATTTCCAGCTTAATGATGTCATTATAGAATATATCGTATTTGTTTATAAAAATTCTTTATTAAATTAGCAAATTAATCTGCCCACGTCAGGATAAGTGTTCCTAAAAAATAATTTATTTATCTTAAAAAAAAATTTATTTCAGTTAAATTATTTTGCGTTTTAATTTAATCTCTTAGAATATTAGATGAAAAAAAATGCTATTATTTAATATTCAACCATTTTATTCCGAAATTTATAAATCAAATAGGAATATAATTCGATTTGATTTTCTGGAGGCCTAAAGAAAATGCGCGCACATAGCACGTTTTCTCTAGCGGTAGCTTCGTTACTTTAAAATTTAGTAGCAGAAGTGTAAAAAAGTAGTAAAATAAACATGTAGTTATTTGGGAAATGATATCACAGATTAGTTACGGTGCAAAAAAATTGATTTGATAGAATTAATAATAAAATAGATACCTTCTCAAGTTCTAGGAGTGAGAGCCTTCTTGGGGGATGCCTCGTTTTATAACATCTTTAAGAAGCGTTCATTTTTCGAAAAAGAGGGAATGATTTTTCTTATAATTTCTATCCAATTTAATTTAAAAATAATAAAATTTAATTTAAAAACTTTTTTGAGAAATAAATGAATATTTATTCATACATAATCAAATTGTTTTATAATGTTTTCACGCACTTTTTGAATGGAAGAAAAAGAAAAATTATTGACTGATTTTATAGAAATCAAGAAAGGAATCAATTTAAAAATTCAAAAAGCATAATTTTAATTTTACCATAAAATATTTTCTAAGGGTGTAAGTGGCTAGGAGGGTTGTCATCTCTAAAACCTCCTTGAATATGCCATTAATATTAAAATATAGATGCTAAGATCTATTATTTATTTTGATATTATCATTTTCAATAGCGTTGTTAGGAGGGGATATAGGCGCTCACACCCCTGAAAACTTTGGAGAGGCCCCTGAAATATTTTTTTAGTTTTGTGATAGTTTTTTTTAGATATAATTTTCTATTTAGATAGAATTAACTTATTTTTCGCTAATTTTGGAAGTTTAAAATAATTCAAGTTTATAAAGCTAGTAACACCACGGAATTTATTTATTATTGTAAATTACTTTCAATAATTTTCAAAACTCTAATATTATATTAATTAAAATCAATGAAACAGAAGATATCAAGCATTTCCAAGTTCTAAATTATATGGGAATAGTTGTGGTAGATTTTAAAAATGTCAATCCACAAATCAACGGAACCTTCAAATGTCGCATTTGGAATGAATTAGGAGAAGACGAGTCTATTTTTATCATCAATTGTTCAAGTATACGTATTATATTTTTATTATAAGTAAAGTAATATTGAGTGAAAAAAATGGAGTATTTTGTATTGTAATAGATGGATAACTATAGTAAATTATAGTATATGTATAATAAGCACATATATATAACTTCCATCACAATATTTCTATATAACCTATTTAAAGTAATTAATATATCCTACATATGCACTAATAGATAATCAGTAAAAAAATCACCCTGCCGCGGTGTATTTCGTCCCTGCTTTTATAAATTGGGCTATTTTACCCCCTGGCCCGGTTTGAATTTTTGAAATTAAGTTATTTTAAATAATCTTGAATGCATTTTATAAATTTTAATGAACGGTAAATGATCCATTATCTTTTTTTCCAACTATATTATATATTATTAAAGTTATATGAATTGTCTGGTCGAGCCTGCAGACCGCAAATAAAAATATTGAGTCATTATTGAATCTATAAACTTGTAGAAAATTTTCCTGAGGTATAAGATGTAGGCACTGATCTCAAAAATAATTTTGGTTTTACACCTTTTTAAGGTGTCAATTTTTTGAGCGATATTAAAAAGCTGAATATTTCAAATTTGAGGGGGGGGGGGTATAAATATTGAAAGGGTTTATTTTATAAATTTTTAATCCATTTTTTTAACGAGAAAAATATAGAAACTATTGTTACAAATATTTTATTTCCATATTGCAGTAATGCATTTTAACGATGGTGTTAATAAAAAATTAGATATATTTATCTATGCATATAGAGATAGCATCCTATTTTAAAAAGGATTTAGGGCTTTCAAATTCAGGAACAGGGCTATGCTTTACTGTCCTGAATTCTTATCAAGAGCGCGATTTTTAATTTTAAAATACCTTATTTTGTCGAAATCGTATTCCAACATTAATAACTTGTTGAAATCAAAAGGCAAACCTTAATAAAATTAAAAACACTTTCGATTTTAATAAATAGTATCTTAATTCTTTATAATTCTTTTATTGTAGGTTTAAATTTAAAAAGATAAATATTTTTTTCAAAATTTTAATCGTATGGGAACGAGTAAGCCATAGTGGGCCTCTGCATGGGGATGTTTTGGGAATCAAAAATTTAAATATTTTTGGAATAAAAATTAAATATTATTTTAAAAAGATTTATTTAATTATAAGCCTTCAATATTCCTATGGGGTATATGAGCCAGGCTTGCTAGAATTGATATTATATTAAAACACTTAATTATTATGTCGAAAATCTTCAGAAGCCTCATCAAATATATCTTAAATTCCAAATTTCATATATTTTGGTTGAGTAGTTTTTAAGATATAAGCATTTTGTGAGTGATTGGGGTTTGTGAGGCACCAAAAGTGTACATACAAATACGTAATTATTTTGGAAAAAATGATTATAATTATCTCATTTGTCAAATTATTTCTAATTATGATTTTTACCTGATAGTAAATATATTATATTATTTAAAATGTAATTTCATTTTTCATATATTTGAGTTGAATTTGAAAAAATAACATCATTATCATATCCAAAGACAGACAGAAAAAGTTGTCATAATGCTATCAACTTTCCACGATAATAAAATGATACAAATGACCTATGAAAACCTGAAATTAAAACATTTTATAATATAACTAAAGGTAGGTTAGATATGGTTTATTGAATGACAAAAAATTATTCAATTTTTAGAACGTCAAATCGATGGCCCTAAAATTTTTTACACATATCTAAACATAATATCTATTAATTGACATATAACAAACACAAAAATATCCAATATAAGATGTAATTTCATATAAAAAAATTATGCATGGAACTTATGAAGCCTTATTTAGAAGTATATAACAAAAATTCTCATATTGCCCTGACTTTTGAAAAAATATATTTCCAATTATCCACTCAAGAGGAAGGTGTAGTATGTGTCATAGAAGTAAGGCTAAGAAGACGAAATATTTTTGCCAAATATGTGATTTTTACATGTCAGAATTAACATATTTCAAAGTTCTATATTCTTTTATGTCCGAATGTAATAGTGTAAATCTTGTTTTATATTGAAGAATAAATATCAAAATAAAGAATTATAATGATGATGATAGATAAATTATTTTTTTGAAAATTTAATATTTGAAATAATAAAAAAGTAAGCTTTTTAGGAAGTTTTGCACAAATTATATTTATCCTCATCACAGTGGCGTAGCCAGGAATGATCCATGGGGGGGGGGGGGGGGTTTGAATTTTTTTTTGATGTATTATAATGATGATGATAGATAAATTATTTTTTTGAAAATTTAATATTTGAAATAATAAAAAAGTAAGCTTTTTAGGAAGTTTTGCACAAATTATATTTATCCTCATCACAGTGGCGTAGCCAGGATTGATCCATGGGGGGGGGGGGGTTGAAAATTTTTTGGGGGCTTCGCCCCCAAACCCCTTATCAAAATTTGCCAATATTTTGTGTATTATACCCAGGCCAGCATAAATATTAAAAAATATTAGAATTAAAATTTTTGTCAAATTTACAATTAATAAGCGACTGAAAGCATTATTTTGAAAATGTTATCAATGTTTAGTAAATTGTATATTAATTCAATCTATTCGATGTAAAAAAAATTTGCCTCCCCCCAAACCTTCCAATTTTATGATCAACTCAATATATCATATTCTATGTTAAAAATAATTATTTTAATTAAATTTTTGCATATAACAATATTTTGCAGAGATTTTATTTATTATTAACTTTATTTATTTAACTATGTATTTATTTTAATAATATATAAAAAAATAAATTTCAAAATATATAAATTTTATACAGATTATTATATTAAAAATTGAATTTAAATAACTATATTTTAAAAAAATAAAATTGCAATAAAATATGTAATTCTTGCTAAAAAAATACAATTTAACAATTTTATTTAGTATAAACCCTTTATTTAACTATGTGTTTATTTTATATACAAAAAATAAATTTCAAAATTAGAAATTTTATACAATTACTTTTTTAAAAATTGATTGTAAATATCTATATTTTAAAAAAATAAAATTACAATAAAATATAAGTAATTCTTGTATGCAATTTAAAAAAATATAATTTAACAGTTATATTTAATACAAATGAGTATATTATATAAATAATTCTTATTGTAGGTGCAATACTATTATTAAATATAGTATAAAAATATCATGACTAAAAATTCATTATAATTAAGTTTTACATATAAAAATTTTATGACTAAGAAAATATTACAATTATATGATTTGAATTTATAAAGAGAGGTCTACTTTTCTCTGAGATTTGGCTAATTCATCTAGAATCAAATTTTTATCTAGAATAATCTCCTTATAAATATTTAATAGGGCTAATCCATTTAAACGATTTTCACCGGTGCTATTTCTTAAATAGGTTTTTAACCTTTTCAAAGTTGAAAAAGACCTTTCATTAGTGCAAGTACTAATCGGTAAAGTAGCTAAAATAAAAAACAATGTTTTGATATTGGGCAGGGAATCTAAAGTGCAATTACACATGGAAAGGGCCTGCAAAGCATTTTTTGGTCTCAAAGAGTACTCTATTCTGCCAAGATTTTTATACCAAAATTCGACATCACAAAGTAACTTATCATACGACCCTAATAAATCATCAGAATAAAATTATAAGATGTTCTTAATATCCTCTCGCGTTTCAAGTGTAATCAACAATTTAGACTCAACCGGCAAAAGAAAATAAAAGCTTTTTAAAATAAAATTGTGACTTATAAATCTTTCCTTTAATTGAAATAAAAATGTATCAATAAGTGGAATAAAAATGTTAATTTTATAAAAATCCTCAATCGTAGATGCATCAATATTTGAGCGATTGGATTGTCTAGAAACTACTCTAGGTTTAAAAATTTCAATCCCAAACATATTAGCGATCTCCTTTACTTTCTCATATATTTCGTGAAATTTTTCATCCACATTATCTCTGATATTTGTTAATATTTCAACAATATCCTTTGCCCTATTCATAACCTCCGTTAAATCCAAATCAATTTTTTGTAACATTTTGCTAAAATCATATGTATAATTAAATAAAAAATAAACACATTGAATTGAAATTAAAAATTGAGGCTTCGTAATAGCCTGTAAAAGATTTTCCGCATCTGCGGAATCTTTTTCTTTGCGTAATATGTATGATTCCAGTGCTGCAAAAATAACCTCATATAACTTGATGAAAACCTTCACCGATTGTTGTCTTTCAATGAATCTTGTGGGACAAAATCTTTTTAATTTTTTTTTTGAATTTTTTGAATCAATTTCATCGAACGTTTGGGTAAAAATCTCCCTCTTCTTGGGTGGGGTAAAGAAGTCACAAACCGACGATATTGTTTCTAAATTTTGAAAAATATATAAAAATTATATAAAGATATCTATAATACATAATAAAATCTAATAAATTTCAATTAAATCAAAATCTTTTTACGTAAACTGTTCCGGATGTCTCTAATTTCACATGCCTCAGTTATCATCAAATTCAGGCAATGTGAACTGCAGTGAACATAAAGAGCTGTGCTATAAAGCTCTCTAATTCTTGACTGGACCCCTTTAACATGGCCACTCATCGAGGGAGCTCCATCGTACCCTTGGCCTCTCAGTAGATTTAAATTTAAATCCAGGTTTTGAAGTGATTTAATAATTTGATTAGCAATCGTTTCTGACTTAGTGTCAGGTAATTCAATAAATTGAACAAATAGTTCCTTCATTTTATAATTACCTGATTCCATATCAATAAACCTTATTGCTATGGATAGTTGTTCAATATTACCAATATTGGAAGTTTCATCCGCCAAAACACTAAAAAATGGTGATGCTTTGACTTTTGAAGAAACTTCCTTTAATATACACTGATTGCATATTGATATTATTTCATTTTGAATAGTGGGACTTAGGTAAGTAGCATTTTTAAGGAGCTTTCAAAAAGCTTTAGGTAGTTGTCATTATTATTACATAAAAATTTCAATAATTCCTTGAAATTTCCTTCATTGTGAGAAGGGGATGTAAGTGTTAGGGGGCCAGGAGATATCCTATGAGCTCTTAACGCCAAGCCCTGCCTCCCTAACCAAATGATAGCATCAATAATTATAATTATTCTTGATCGATTTTTTGTAACAATATCAAAATTTTTTTTATTCAATACATTGGATATTGATATCTTTTGATTCATTGAGATTTCTTTTAAAGAATCCATTATCTCACAGGAATTAAGATGATATTTATTTTTTTGATGATAATTAAAATTTTCGAGCGCATCTTTCCATCTTGTGTACACCTGACTTACCAATGTTTTGAGTTTTTGTAACCCATTTCCAGCATATCTTGGGGAAAATATGAGGCAAACTTTACAAAATGCGCCCTTTTCATCTGCTGAGTAAGCAAGCCACTAATATTTGTTAAGCCAGGATGCTTGAAAGGTTAAATTTCTTTTGCCCAAGGGCAATGGAAATTTATAACATTTGTCAGGTATCCAAATATTTTCAACAGCTAACAATTTTTCATTATCATTTTTAAAATGAAAATTTAAGTAAAGTGAAACATCTTTTTGAGAACGGTGTGGTGTTTCTATATTTTTTTTTAGATTTTAAATGATATATTTCAATATGAATTTCAATGTTAGGAGCTGAGCAGTACAAGAAAAAAATCTGGATTATAAAAAATGTATCTCAGATAGATATCAAAGTTTCTTAATAAAAATTTAAAGACAGATACAAGTAGAAGGAAATTACTATAGAATATCATTACCAATTTTAATTAATATTTTTATATTTGTAGGATGATTTACACTCATGGAAGTGAAGAAGGTAGTAATATTTAAATTATGAAAATAAGTTCCTAAATATTATAAGCTGCCCAAGATTGTATATACAAAAGATTTTAAGAAAATAATTATGTTCTTCACAAATAAATAATAAAAACTGTATTTTATAAACTATTCTAGTTTAATTGGTAATGATAAATCATCTGTATATAAGATTCATTTTTTCACAACAAATCTGTATCTAGATTATTTTTCTGGAGGGCCTGCCCAACTCTGTTTGTATTGTAGATACAAGTTTTCAATACTGCTCAACTCTGTTTGACTTATAATGTACTACCTTTTGCAAAATAACACAAAAAAATGACTAACTTTAAAATTATAACTAAATATCGTACATTGCAAAATTTTAATAACTCAAAATAAAAATAGTATAATTTACAAATAAAAAAAAATGGAATTAAAATAAATACTATACCATCATTTGATGATTTTCCAGCCAAATCAACTGATAGCTCACATGCTTTTGTAACATAATGTTTCTATTTTTAATTAAAAAATATTAGAAATTATAAATAATTTAGAATATATACCATCATTTGATGATTTTGTAGCTAACTCATCATTGGTTTTCCCATGGAGATGGAGTGGTAATGGTATGTCTGGTATTTCTAATTGCAAGATTTAAATAAAAGATATTGATAATACCATTACCTTCGAACTCAACTGATGGCTGATTTTCACTAGCAACATCCATATATATTTCTAATTCAAATTACATAACTTAAATTTTATAAATAAATTAATATATACCTTTTTCTTTTTGTTGTTGACAAAAAAATTTACGGATATCCATATTTAAAAATTATAAAAACTTAAAATTTACAAACAAAACAAACTATCTAAATAGTTTAAATTTAAAAATATATATTTAATAATTAAATTTATAAATATCTAATTTAACTATGCCAAGCCAGAAAATATTTACAAAATATCTTTATTGTTATTTAATATTCTAATTTAACTATGCCAGAAATTATTTACAAATACTATATCTTTATTCTTATTGTTGTTTTCAATACTTCTCAACTCTGCTTGGCTTATAATGTACTACCTTTTGAATAACACAAAAAATGACTAACTTTTAAATATCGCATTGCAAAATTTTAATAACTCAAAATGAAAATAGTATAATTTACAAATAAAAAAAATGGAATTAAAAAAATACTATACCATCATTTGATGATTTTCCAGCTAAATCAACTGATAGCTCACATGCTTTTGTAACACATAATGTTTCTATTTTTAATTAAAAAATATTAGAAATTATAAATAATTTAGAATATATACCATCATTTGATGATTTTGTAGCTAACTCATCATTGGTTTTCCCATGGAGTGGTAATGGTATGTCTGGTCTTTCTAATTGCAAGATTTAAAGATATTATAAATAATACCATTACCTTCGTCATCTGAGGATACAACGAAAACCAACTCAACTGATGGCTGATTTTTACTAGCAAGAGCAACATCTATATCTATATATATTTCTAATTCAAATTACACAACTTAAATTTTTATATACCTTTTTCTTTTTGTTGTTGACGAAAAAACTTACGGATATCCATATTTAAAAATTATAAAAAATTAAAATTTACAAACTATCTATATAGTTTAAAAATATATATTTAATAATTAAATTTATAAATATCTAATTTAACTATGCCAAGCCAGAAAATAATATCTTTATTGTTATTTAATAAATTTAACTATGCCAGAAATTATTTACATACAATACATCTTTATTCTTTTATTGTTATTTAATATTTTAGTTCATATAATTTATATATATTTTTAAACGATGTGATCATTTAAAATTAAAACTCCTTTTTTTATAAATATATTTCATTGTGATATTCATATTCATATTGTATTATATATAATATATTATCTTATTTCTCTAAATTGAAACCGTTTTTTAAATATAATTATTCGCAATAAAAAAATAATAATTTTTTATTTTATAAAAAAAAAAAAAAAAAAAAATAAAATTTTTTTCCATGGGGGGGGGGGTTTCGACCCCAAAACCTCCCCTTGTCTACGCCACTGCCTCATCACCTCTAAACATAATAAATTAAATTTTTTATCAATTTTAAGGTTAGTTCTATCTTATATCCAAATATTAAACCAAAATAACGAATACAAATGGAGAACATTTGAAATTGGATACCTCACCAGAGCACTTGAGTCGTTTATTTCACCGGAATATTGAAGGGTTAAAATTATTGTGAGAATGGCTTGGAAATGTCTCTTTTCAACCTCATGAAAATGACTCCAAGCCTCAATTCTCATTGAAAAACATATTTTAAGGATATTATTCTGAGTTATACTCTAGAAAAAAGCCACGTCCCGCTATAACCTGGGCTATCCCCGGTCTCTCTTATTTGAATTTGAGACAATTTTGCTGTGTGAACTTTTGAACAACAAATAATTTATATTCATTTTTTATTTAGACATTTTATAAATTAAAAAGTTTAAGATAAAATTGTCTGAAATTCCCAGGGTAAGTACTTTATACAAACTAAAAGTAAATCAAATCTTTCAGAATTAAAAAGGCACGCTATAAATATAAACTTTATAATTGGCTAAAAATGGAGATTTGAGAAAAAACTTTCGACATATAATATTTTCTATTTTCCTAGATGGAAAATTTCATATTTTTTAAATTTTAATAACGCAATAAAATATAACAAAAAATCTATATTTAATAATATTTGCCTTTTTATTCATTATTTTGTTAATATTTTGGGCTTCCAATATTGGTTTCACGTGCATCTGTTGTATATTTCAAAAATTGATGTGAGAAATAAATATAAACATAAGCATGTTTATATTGAACCTGATTTTATTTGGCATTGTAGTCTAAGAATTTGGCGAAATCATATAATAAAAATAAAAAGAAGAACAGGTCCAAGAATAATTTTTTATTCCTATTTCTGTTATTTTTAATTATAAAAGATTTTTTTTAATAATTATTTGCAAAATTATATCAGCATTCACTTAAATTGCAAAATAAAATTCAAGTGAGTTTAAAATAAAACAACCGTGGTTCCAATATGCTACTAAAAATAAGAATCAATTACAAAAGCGGCCCTGGCCTAAAAATGAAAAAAAATTACCAACACGAGCCGGGCCAAATTTACATCTTCGATTTCCCGAAATCCTTTACAAAATGAAGCGAAAATAATTTAGAAGCATGTCCTAAAATGATAAAAATTTAAAAAAACATGGACTAATCTTGTAAATTAAAATAAAAAGCCTGAGAAATTTATGGATTTATAAAACTAATATTAAACTACTGAGGCTGATGTTATAGACTCGCTATTTCAAACAAAAATTAATATTTATTTTTATGTTGTGATGAATAAAATAGGTTATTGAAATTATATTTGATAAGTTATTTTAATTTATGTTACTTTTCCTCGTGAATTTTTAAAAAAATGATTATATAACGTATTTGTGCTAAAATCCTAAATCTTTTATGATTATCCAAAATAAATTCGAATGAAAATTTTAATTCCAACATTGAAAATGGGCGCATATGTTATTTTTGTTTGTAAGATTACGATTATTTTAGTTAAAGTTTATATACATACAAGATTGTGTACATCTTTTTTTAATTATTATGAAAAGTAAATTAGATGAAAACCGGTATTATATTATATACACTTCCAATTCAAGTTACGATTAATAATCCTTTAAAAAAATATTTATATAGCCAATCCATTTCTACAATTTTATAAATCGCAGTTCACAATATGGGAAAACCTTAGTTTGGCTTTTCTTGAGGCAGAAATTTTTTTTACAGGAAAGCCCGAGAATATTTTATTATAAAATATTTTGGATTCTAAACTGTAATTTTAAATCGGGGCTTTTTAGATATGAACATATTAGTATAAAAATGACCCTACACTAATGTAAGGTAAAATATTTGACTAAAATAGAAACTATTTTCGTATTTTATGTTCTGTATTTAAGTGGATTCGGATTGAGGAGAATGCTTTAAAAGGGGTTTGGGCCGAATTAACAAAGCATTTTTTTTTCCTTTTATTATTAAGAAAAGTTATTGATCGAAATTTATGAAATGGCTTAAGTATTACGTCATTTTGTATGTGAGCAACGAACTTATAAATATTTTATTTTCTTCATTTATAAACTTACATGCAACTCAAGTTACATAATATATTTGTTTTTAATTTACTGATTATATATATAATATATTTTAACATTATTCTGTCAAATCTAACCCTGGGTTAAAAACATACATACACATGGAAGATTCCTTTTCTATCATAATTCTTTATTATTATATTATATTATATAATATAACATTATTATTTTGTTACCTTTAACGATTTTTTTTTACCTGTTCAAAAAAATAAATAAATAATAAAGTTTTTTTCTATTTATTTATTATAAATTTAAATTCGTCAAATTATTTATTTATTTTATTTTAGAATTAAAACAAAACCATATAATAATAATTTAATTTTTAAATAACATTTCATAAAATGAAGTATGATTTATCTTGTACACTTTTTTCGATTTGACTAGAAATTATTCGCTCGAAGCTCCCATTGCGATTTCCATTGATAAATTATTATATACATTCTGATTCAATAATTATTCCAATACACTTTTAAAGGTAAAAAAATACATAATACCCTGGACAGAGCTTTAAATATTTTAAAATAGTAATAAAAATAAAGCTAAATAAATCAATTAGAGTTCTACTCTAATTTTCAAGTCCCGTCCGATTTGAGAAAAAATTTGAAAAAAGGATTTTTATACAAAGATTCGAATTTTCTTAAAGGTATATTTGATTCAAATTTTTTTTACTGGAATATTGGGAAAGTACGATATTTCAACGAAAGTTGGAAAATTCTAATATGCAATTAAGCCTGGAGCGTTTGCCTCTCTTTTTAAAAATCAGAAGCGGGAGCTAGCTCTTTTTAGGACTCGAGTGAAGGAGGGCCGCTCCACCGCTCTTTTAAATTTAACGTACAAATTAAATTATTTTCAATAAAAATGAAATTTTATTTTATTTAAATTTAAACAATTTAAATGTTAATCCGAGTTTTATAATGGTTTTTCATCTAATCAGTTAAAATATTAAATCAAGTTTTTTTCTCTTTTTATATTGAAATTTCTTGGAAAATCTTGTGTCATATAAATATATTATAGATATATGATAAAAAATATTTATATTATGGGTCCAGACATTATAGAAAAAGAAATCTTTATAAAAAAATTATCTATTTAAATAACTTTATTGCAGATTTTCAAATATTTTTAATGATGAAAAGATCATTGAGGGTATCATCCATCCTACATTCAAATTAAATTGGGAATGGATAAAAAAATGGACAAAATATGGAAAATACAAATAAATAAATTTTTTAAGAAAACAAATTCCGGATGCAAAAATAACTATTAGTTCATGGAACCTTGGATTCCATGAAACTAATCATCAGCAAGATAATATATTGGACAAATATCTAAATATTGATATCAAAATTACTATTTTTGATAAATTTCCTGAATTAAATTATTTTTTTTTATAAAATACAATACCCCGCTTCCCTCTAGTGCTACTGTTGAACGCCTGTTTAGTATTGCTAAACAGGTTTTGGGGGAGAGATGTGTATGTTTGTTAGATTCAAATTTAGAAAATTTATATTATAAATATTTTGATATATCATTTAATATAAATAAACTTTTCTGATAAAAAATATTTTGTTTCGTATACTTTCTAAAAAAAATGAAAATCAAAGGATCGGCTATGGAGTCGCTCCATTATTTGGAGCGGGAGCTAGCTCCTTTTAAAAATTTAAGTGAGAGTGAGAGCTAGCTTCTAAGGTAGGAGCGGGAGCTGGCTACTTTTAAAAAGGAACGTTAACAACTTTAATATATCACCACTATAAGGAAGAATTTGTAAGAAAAAAAAATAAGTAAGAGTTAATAACTTAAAAATAACGACTATAATTTAAAATTTTTAGAAAATTATAAAAAAATAGTGAAAACCCCAAATTATTTTTATAAAAATCGAAATAGCCAAAGGCCTACAATAAGTAAACCTAAAATTTACGTTGAAAAAACTCACATATGCCCCCCCCCCCTCCCCTAAGCAAAATCCTGTATATGCCTATTAATTTTTTTTTGGTGTTATTTTTGAAAGACTATAATTAGGAAAACAAAATAGTTAAAATTTATTGAAGTTCGAGTCTGGCCCACGCTAATCAAAATTTCAAAATTAAGGTCGTATCAGACCGAGTTCGAAAGAATGTCCAACCAACAGAATGGGTCCTTTGTAGGACTCTAAAATTAATTCATCGGAATAAAATGAAGATATATATAAATTCCTGTTCGGAACATGAATCAATACTTCATTAATGATAGCAACTAACTACGATGCTTCGAGTTTACCTTCAAATATTTTATATTTTCGGGTGTGAATTTAATAATATCATATTAGAATTATTATATTATGTAGTATCCTACACTACAGTATAATTAACTGGTGTTACCTTGATTTCATATATTTTAATGAACTAAAAATAAATAATTAACGGGTGCTAAAATAGTCCGAGTTCAGCCACCACACTGCCGTGCTTCTGTAGTTACTGTGCTATATAATAAATTTTAAACATATCACTTAATTCTAGTTAACCTTTCCTCATGGAGACAGATTACCTTCGAGATTCGAATTTAGCAATAAATAAACTTTACGCTAAATTAAAAAAAAAGCATTTTTCCCTCGAAAATTATTTTAATTTTTAAATCCCAGAAATTTTATATTTTACAATGTTACCTGGGTTTAACGCTTATAATTTAAATTTTTTTTACTTCATTAAAGTATTGTTAGGTTATTTTACCACCCAAGATCATTCAAAAATATATAATAAAAATAAGGTTAGTTGAAGTAAAATTAAATTCCATTTTATCCACATATGTATATTTTTAAAAAATCCTAATTAGCCAAAAACTTTTCTTATTATTTTAATTTTTAATTATTATATTTTTTAAATTTTATAAGATCAAAAACCACAACTTTTTTTCTTGTATTAAACTAACAATCTATTTATTTAATTATTGATTTTTTTTCATAAAGCTAAAAAAAATAACATTTTTTAAATCTAAATATGCCTATATTTTATTTTAATATTTTTTTTAATGATTAAAATGGTTATAATCTAATCTTGCTAGTTCTACTTTGTAGACAAAAATTAGAAGGCTAATTTTTTGCATTTTTATATTTTTAATTAAACATTGGTGATAAATAGTTTATTACCCTGTAAATAAATTAAATTTGCTGGATATATTAGACCATTGTTGACAAATACTAGGGCTCGGTTCGAAAAGGTTTTTTTTTAAATATTCAAAACAAAAAACGTACAAACCAAACATCATTCATTTCCTTTGAAACTTGAATTTGGATTTGAACAGGACACCTCATAACTATGCTTGAATCATTTATGAGAAATATTTCAGATTAGAATTTAATCCCTTATATAACAAATATTGAATTATTATAAAATACAGAGTTAATCACTCCTTAGTTCAATCTACTTTTATTAATTTCCTCATCCCGTTTATTCATTATATTTTTTTCTAACAATAAATTTTTTAGAGGACAATCCTTTAATTTTTTTTTATTTTTCGTCATTTTTCCCGTATACGCTTAATTTTTATTTGTACAACTATTTTTTTATGCCTTAAATTTATTTTTTTATTATTACTTTTTCAAATCTCAAGGACTAAAAATATTTGAATTATCAAAAAATAATATTGTTTCGCTAAAAAGTAAAAACATAATATCAATTAATTAGATATATAAAATAGGGTGATTTTAATTAAATTATGCATTGCAGTTATTAAATAAACTGTAATTATTTTATTTGATATCAATATGGGCCCATACTCTGTTAAAAATATTTCGCATATAAATGCTAAATGGTTAAAGGAATTTTATTGATATTTGAGAATAAGCCAGCCAAAACACATATGCTCAAAATTTATTAAGATTTTTTCGTATTTAATTTATAAATTATATAAAAATTTAAATCTCGTCTTTTTTAATGCTGTCTTGTTTTTCATATAATTAAACCCCTATAAATTTCTTAATTTTAGCACCCAAATCGGTATTCAGTGATAAAAAAAACGGCAAAAATTCACGAACAAAAAACGAACGTCATCGATCATTTATATCATCCTCTTCCGTCTCCATCGAAGAAGAACCTACGCAAAAACCATCTTGTTTAGACGATAAAATACCATATAACCATTTTCCAAAAAAAGAAACTTCGAAACAACTATCAATGAATTTAGAAAAGGTGAGGGAAGTTGACATTGTCCAAAATGCGGACAGGTCATTTAGTGGCCAGAGACGAAAAAAGCGAATGAATTCCTACGCCTCCAATAACGCCGCGAATTTCAATCGTTCGTCTTCTCATTACGAACGACATTATGAAGATTCGGCAGATAATTTAAGGACCGGTCCAGGGTACGAAACATCTTCTTTTTCTACGTCTGATCTTCATTCCACAGGTAGGGTTAAGAAAAGAGGCGGGGTTTATGGCGAGGAATATTCTTATTCTCGGAGCCGCGAGGTTGAGCCTTTAAGGTTAGAAATCCATATTTGTTGTTTATATATTTGTATTATATAAAGGTATAATATCATTTTTATTTTATGTTGACCTCACCATAATCGTTTGAATCGAATAGCTCTGGTGCTATAATAGTAGGTTAGACTAAGGGTGGGCAGGGCTCCTTGACGGACTAATATGGGAGAGGCCTGTCGACGAACGTGAATAGTCAATGTGGACGAATAACTATTATGGATGAAAAAAAAGTAAACCCAAAATATTTCTTAAATCTTGGCCTAAAAAAAGGTACAGGAAACAGAACGGCAACACAAGTCAATTTAGGTCTTTATAGTTAATTTCCTTATATCATCAAATTAAATTCATTAAGCCAAGGATAATCACAAAATTTTTTTTATTGCGAATTACAATATTAACCTTGAATATGATTCACAAAAATAAAATTTTGAATTAAAATAAAAATAAAATTTTGAAAATGAAAGTTCTAATATAATTTTTCAAAATGATTATGCGTCCTAATTTTTTATACCCTCAAACCCTATCCCATTTGTGATGATATTTAAGGAATAATTATTTAACTTTAAAAATACTTTCAAAACCCTACAGTTTTATTTTAATTATTAGAGAAAACAACTTTCTGCATAATAATGCCAAATGTGCCCATCAATCCTTGTGTGGTTTGATAAGGATATATATTAGGATTACTTTTTATATCTATTTAGGGCATTTCCTTTGCTTTTAAACTTCTATTTGCTTTCCTCACTAGATGTTAAAATCAAAAATATATAATACCCTTAAGATAGTTTTCTCCGAGTTTAATTGGGCGATAACCCAACTTCCGACCAAACAAGGAGATTTGGGATTTCTTACTCTCGGTATCTTTATCAGTCTTCCTTTCATTCCTCTTCAATGCGAATAGGTTATTGGATAGTTTGTGAAGGAAAGAGATAGTCTATTTGAAACTGTTAATTATGGAGGAAATATTTATCCCTTATCTTTCTAGCGTCTATGGCACAGAGACTTTTAACCTTCAGTAGGCTAACTTTAGAAATTGGTAGTAATAATCTTTTTATTGAAGACACTTCCATTCATAAATAACCTGGGCCATGAATGGCTAGAAACGATTCCAAGTGCAATCTTATTCGGTTTCTATCAGATGAGTGGGTATGGACTAGACTCTAATATCAACCTCATAAATCTATCGAATGGGAAAATAGCCTAGCTTGCTTGTATTTTAAACGGTTCAGTTGCCACAATTAGTTTGATAATCTCGAATAAATTGAGTTTGGTTAGCTCTAAATCGCCTTGAACTTGTTTCTAGATGGCAAATAGACCTGATGACCTTAATAATATCACTTGATTTACTGAAAAACCCCTTATTTTGTCACCTGCCTCCTACTTATCCTCTAAATCAAACATTGACCTGATAACAGTTGAATAGTCGAAAATCCGAAAGTATCACGACTTCTCAGATTTTCACCTTAATAGTTGTCCAAAGGACCTGCAGGCTAAAATATTTTGTAATTTTGGTTATAAGAAATTTTCAGATTAATGATAGATCTTCTTTTAAAAATATTGAATCCACCCAAATATATGTAGGCAACTATGTAAGTTTTATAGGAACTTAATGACGGCCTTCTTATCCTTTATATTTTTATAAAAAATATTATCGTATTTTTTTAATTTTAATTTTATATAGTTTTATTATTAAAATAAATAAAATGATTGACCTTTCAAAAAAAATGTTTATTTCATCGTAAGAATAAATGTAAAAAAAATATGAATTGATTAAAAAAATTGATTGAATTTAAATCTTAGTATTAGTTATCGTATTACATTGTCTAATATTTATCACTCATATAAATAATTATAAGAGGCACCTACCAGTAGCATTAGGGGAAGGGGCGCACAGCTTAAGCTCCCTAAAAATTTGAATAGCCCACTGATTAAAAATTTTTTTTTTAAATTAAGGGTTCTCTTTTTAAAATTTTTTTAATGATATTTTTTTAGAAGTTTTATCGATTTTATATTTTTTGGAAAATTTTATATAATTAATCCAATATTTGGTTTGTAAATTCTGTTACTTTTTTGTGGCTGGCGAAATTGATTAAAAAATTAATAAGTATAAGGCGCTAAATATTAACGCAAACCAGATAGTTATAACTTCTATATTCTTCGTTCTGAAATACTGCTAATTTTAACAATTTTTTATTTTTTTTACCAATAATTCTCTTCCGCTTTAAACCCTAAACAAAATAAAATAATAAAATATTCTAATAAAGCGCTGGTTTGGTATAAGTTTCAGATGTCCCCAAAAACTTGGCTAACTTCACGCTTAAAGCATGATGTCGCAGTTTTCATTTTGTTTAAGTTTCTTTTTGTGGTTCTCATATTTATTGGAGGAATTAAAAGTGCTAGTCAGGCACAAAATATTAGCGCACTCCAACTATATTGTTTTTTTTATATTTTCAATTCTAGCATATGCTTATTTTATTTCTTTCTACTGACGGATTAAATGAATTTACAATTGAACACCAAACATTGATAAAATTTTCACAATAATGCTTTCAGTCACTTTAATCGTGAGGTTGGCCAAAATTTTGTTACTAATAATTTTTCATTTATTACTGGTTAAAGTCAGACATTCATAAAGTACAAAACATATTTTAGAATTAGTACTTCAAATTGTTAAGCTAATTTTAACGAAGATGATACAAAGATAATCATGGAAAAATCAATAATTACAATATTTTTTATAGGAGGAGCCGGCTGAAGTCCGGGCAAAATGAGGCTTGAGGGACAAATAATCCCCCCCCCCCCCTACTATAGATGAATCCTCACTACGCCACTTGATGATAAAACATGAACACCAAAAGTATCTATTATATCTTCTGAAAGATTGATTACCTGGATGCAGAGTCATTGATAAAAACACTAAATATCATGTGATTGACATGAAAGGGCATCTTTAAGAAGTCAAGGAAAGGTTCTCTAATATTTACAAAATGACTTTATTGCAATGCCATGCAGATAAGCTCGCCTTGTCTTCGTCTATGTCTACAAATCAATACCTTAATCAACCTTTTCAATTATAGGAAGTATTCATACTTTCTTTTAAGTTATATTATCCATAGTAACTAATTTATTGATTGTAAAAATTAGGATTAAAATTTTAAAATATTAATGGCTTGAATTTTACGCGGCCCTGCAAATCATTTTTAAGAAAAAAAAGACAACGGTTATGTGTTGAAAATAAAAGAGATTTTTACATTATTTTATAGTTTGACACAATCACTTGTATATTTATATTTCATAAATTATTATCAATGTGTTCAAATATTTCGTATTTTTCACAAAAAATCAGCAGCATTGACTGTTGTTGAATATCTTATCATTTATATATGAGAATTAAGAAATTATTCTTATTTTTCTTTATTATTTACTAAAGCGAATAAATTTTGTAATTATAAAATATAAAATCACAATAAAAAGAATGAAATTCAGTTCTATCATTTTGAATGAGTATTCAAATAGATTACGTTGCTAATTTTTATGATTAAACATAATTTTTTTTATAAGTGTCAGTCTTTCATAAATGAATTAAATTTTACCAAGAAAACATAAAGATTGCGACTAAACTCATTTTAATAGATAATAAAACTAAATGAACGCTTTATTTTAATCTTTTTGTGGTTTGGGGGGGGGGTGATGAACCTCCTTAGACTTGGGGGTACGATGCAATGGCGTTGAAATGCCAGGAGGTAGACCAAAAGGGTGCTTTCTAATCTAAGTCACCATACATAATCAGTATCCATAATTTAATTATTTTATATTTTTGTTATCGCGGGGTATGTGGGGGGGGGGGTCCAAAATCATTGGCTTTGTTGGGCAATGCCTGTCCTCGTACTAATAAGACATATTATTTATTTATTAAAAATCACATAATATAAATCTAATAGATATCAGAAACTAATGAATGCCAGCATATTTATTTATTTTATGTTTGTCAAAAATAAAAAAATATCTTAACCTTAAACTTTTTTTAGTTCAAACTTGAAAGGATCGTGATTTTTCAAAAAAAGGAAATTTTGGATGTTATTTTAAAATATTTCAATTTATTTTGTTATAAAATAATAATAAATTTTATATAATAAATTAATGTGACATATGTTTTGTAAATTCAAAAATATTAAATTTTATCTATAGTTTTAATCAATTCACCACATTATTTATTTTTCCAATTAAATTAAATTAATTTTTATCTAAGTATAAAATAATTGTCAATCAGTAAATTTAGAAAAAAATATCCTTTTTATTAATTAATATCACTATTTTTAAAATATGGGATGGAAACCAATCCGAGATTCTAATGACCGGTATAAATATTTGTATATAATGTATAAATTTGATATAGTGTGCGAATTTTGTTACATTTTTATTATATAAGATAGGTAATATATAATATACACATCTCCAAAGCTTTGTTTAATTTACAGCTTGTATTTATAAGTAAAAATAAAAGATCACGTGACTTTTATTATTAAAATTATGACTAGAGACTCCTATAATTGAATCTTAATCATCAATATAGATTACATTCCTAACATATATCTACAGAAATACGAATAGAATATATATATGCCTTTTCTTATTCGATTCTTATTTTCGAATAAAATAGTTATATTATTCGTATTCATACGAATTGAATTCTTTCCTTATTCGTATTCATACGAATAGTAAAAAGATCATTCGATTTTTTTAGTCTAATATTTTCGATAATTAAATTCTTTAAAAATATTCTCAAAAATGGATTATTAAAATTTTAAAAAGCGATTAAATAAGTATTCCGCAAGGAATATGTTAAATACTTAAGAATAATTACAAATATTTAATAATAATCAAATTTCTAAAAATTTTAAGTTATACAAATAATTTGATCTGATAATAGATAAAAAATTATTCGACAGATTATATTTTTTTTATTCGTAAAATACAAATCGAGTAACGAATAATTCGTTCTAAATATACATCAGAGGTAGAGCATAACCTTTCTGATTTGCTAGCCTCTTACCGCACTCTTATATTTATCTAAAAAAATTAATTTAATTATTTTAATATACCTGCTTGAAATCAGCTTAATGATATTTTAATAGTAAATATATATAAAAGTTTGCAAGATTGTTTTTTTTAATATCTTATAAATTAAAACCTTGTAATTTGAATTAAATAAATTACCTTATATATTGTTTCTATATTTTTGCTTAATTATGATTATATATTTGAATGGTAACGTTGCGGTTAAACGGTTGGATTTGAGCCTATTTTTACCAACGACTATCTCATTTTAGCCAGAAAAACATTGCCTAACCCTTAAGATTTCACTAATAGATGCCGAAACCGTTGTGTCATCTATAAGCAAAGTCTTTAGACTTGCCTATTATTTTTCTATATAAAATATTTCAAATCGAGACGTTTAAACAATACTAAAAACGTATACAAAAATGAACTTATATGCTTTACTATTTAAATATTAGCATAGTGTTTAATAACTCAATCAATTTATTAAAAATATTTAGCTTTTAACAAGTGTTTGTTTACATTCTCCTTACATATTATTTAATTTTCTAAATGTTTATAACTAATAATTCGTGTTTATTGCTCCTTTATTATTATTTTACTGTTCTAAAAATGAAAAAAAGATTATACATTTTATAATAGGGATCAAACGAACATAATTGTCCCCATAAATTCCGACAAATACGAATCATCTTACAAATATGACAAGCCCGAAGATGGTATTAAAAATATTAAAATTTAATTTTCCATAAATGCTTCCCTTTCATTTTTTTAAAAATCTAGAAAATCCTTTTTTCTGAATCAAATTTTGGATTATTTATGTGTGCCAAATAGATAAATTTTATACTGAATTGCCATTTATTAAATAAAATTTAGCACAATTATTATAAACAATATTGTTTTTAATAATAAATTAAATGTTCTAACGATGTGTTTCCTTTAAATTAGGTGCAGTTATGTTTTATTTACCCAGATTTAAACATCCTTTATTTATTGATTTATATATAATATAATCAATATAATTGGTATTGAAGAAATTTTTTTGAGCAAATTGTTGTTTATCAAATTTCTCACAATAAAACAAAACAAATTTTAGCCTTGAAATTTGATATATAACATTTCAAATTTAATTTAAAAAATTAAGATTTTCTATTTATTAATTGATTAACTATAGGCGAAGAATACATTACTGCCATGTCTCATTTTAATTTGAGCTAATGAGAACATAAAACTATAAGGCATAGATCAATGGGGTTGTATTTTTAAAGAAAATTTAACGCTGAAAATATTAATAGATCATTAGCAACTATTTTGTAGAATATTTCAACGAGGACGAGAACCTCATTGCTCTCTTTAAGACGGCGTTTATGCCATGGTATTAACATTTTTACAACTTAAAAATAATAATTTAAAACTATTTTGACGAAATCTTATTATATATACCATAATTATTAGCCAATAATTAGTCTATATTATATTTAAAATTATGAAAGTTTTTCTTCTTTATATATAAATAAATTAAGGATATAAAATGGCTTACTATAATCGTTCATCGGGTGGTAATAATAAAAATTCTCTTTTTGCTAGCAAATATGAGAGGTCCGGAGACAACAGAGAAATGGAAGAACATTACTTAGAAGAACAAATTATACTGAGGCCTGGTGGAGCTGTTCAAAAAATAATCGTTCCGGCTCTTCATGAAACTACCAAGGCAATTACCGAAACAAAACAAGAACATTATATAAGCGGTGGAACCAAATATCCCAAGCCCTATTTTAAAGTTCATTTAAAGGTTAGTTGGCGATATTGGTGAATATCTGGATAAAATCAATATCAAATTACAGGGTTTCTCATTCAAAAAAGGAAAAGTCCCAATCAAAAAAAAAGAGTTTTAATCATAAAAGGAAAAGATCCGATCAAAAAAGGAAAAGGGTCAATCATAAAAGGAAAAGGTTCAATCAAAAAAGGAAGGCCCAAGCAAAAAAGGAAAAATGTCAATCAAAAAAGGAAAAGTCCCAAAGGTTTCGGAAAAAGTCTGATCAGAAAAGGATAAGTGTCAAACAAATATGGAAAAGGTTCAATCAAAAAAGGAAAAGTGTCAAACAAAAAAGTGTTAATCGAAAAGGAAAATTCCCAAAAGAAGGAAAATTAATCAAAAGAGGAAAATTCCCATTCAAAAAAGGAAAATCGTAATTTTTTTAAATTTCTTGTCAATTTTTCTTAAATTTTTATTTATTTTTGTTATTCCTTCTTATTTTATTTCTAACTTTTTGCGATTTCTTTACTTTATTTGTATCTTTACTCAATTTATTTTTCTTACTATATCTTCTCTTAATTTATTTTCCTTCTCATTTTTGATAATTCTTTTGTATTTTTAAAAATTTATAAATTTAGGTCCATTTTTTTAACAATTCTTTACGTTTTTTTTTCATCATACAATATTCTTTTTATGATTCTTTCATTGTAATATTTTACCTACATTTCTAACCTTTTCAATCTCTTTAAGTCATTTTTAATCTTTATTTTTTTGAGTTTCTCAATTTTTTTAATTCTCATTTTTGATAATTATTTTTTAAAATTTTATTTATTTTTTTTGGCAGACAAATATCAAATTATTTATAATTACAATTGTTAAATTAAATTAATCGTTTGGTTATAATGTACCTTTTTAAAATTAAACAAGTTTGAACTGTAATACCAAACGATATGTAAATTAATAAAATATAATCATTTTTAAATTCTTATTTTTATAATTATCAAAAATGAGAAGAAAAATAATTGAGAAAAGCTCTAAAAAATAAAGATTAAAATGACTTAATGAGATTGAAAAGGTTAGAATTGTATGTAAAAGATTACAATGAAAAAATCATAAAAAGAATATTGTATATGTATGATAAAAAAAACGTAAAGAATTGTTAAAAAAAATGGACCTAAATTTATAAATTATTTTTAAAAATACAAAAGAATTATCAAAAATGAGAAGAAAAATAAATTAAGAGAAGATATAGTAAGAAAAATAAAGTAAAGTAAATCGCAAAAAGTTAGAAATAAGAAAAGATAGAGTAAGAAAAATAACGTAAAGAAATCGCAAAAAGTTAGAAATAAAATAAGAAGGAATAACAAAAATAAATAAAAATTTAAGAAATATTGACAAGAAATTTAAAAAATAACGTTTCCTTTTTTGAATGGGAATTTTCCTTTTTTGATTGACACTTTTCCTTTACTTTTGGGAATTTTCCTTTTTCGATTGACACTTTTCCTTTTTTAATTGGACCTTTTCCTTTTTTGTTTGACACTTTTCCTTTTTTGATCGGACTTTTTCCTAAAACTTTGGGACTTTTCCTTTTTTGATTGACACTTTTCCTTCTTTGTTTGGGCCTTTTCCTTTTATGATTGAAACTTATCCTCAATTGATTGGGACTTTTCCTTTTTTTGAATGGGAAACTCTGTATTATACAAACTTAATACTATATAATTATTTCTTCATTGTAGGATCAAAACAATTTAGTGGAAGGCCAACCAGTTCATTTAGAATGTAGGGTTGAGCCTAAATCAGATCCGCACCTTAAAATAGATTGGTATTTCGATAATTCCCCACTTAAAACTGATAAACGTGTTCATACAGTGTACGATTATGGCTATGCTTCGCTGTCTATTACTGAATCTTCTGCACCAGCAGATTCAGGAATTTATGTGGCAAGGGCCAGTAACCAAGCTGGAGAAGCCTACTCTACAGCTTCACTTTGCTTGGCACGTAAGTATTATAATTTTTTATACCTTACTTATATTTAATGTGCTCTATGCATTTTTGAAATTATTAAAATGAAATTCTATAAACTTGGCTTCTAAGTATATTTTTTTAAACCTAATTACAATCTACTTTATAGTAATAGAGGTAAGAGCGTCCTTATCACATCTAAATTTAATGAGTACGCTTAAAATATACTCTTATTAAATGATATATAAATTTTTTAGTAGCCACTAATACTAGATAAACACATTAGATATTATTTTAATGTATAAAGTTAACTAACTCCCTTATTTTAAATATATAGTGTTCTTCTATTCCAAAGGGATTTTATTTATACTATAAGCAATTAGGAATATTACTGATTCAATCCATCTCAACGAGGTTAACAATTATTATGAATTTTATATTTAAAAAAGCTTTAAAATCAATTATTACCGAAACACAAACCACTACTCAATTTGATGAATTAGAGATGGAAAAGTTTATTTATGATGCTGACAGAGACAGACCCGTATTAGGCGAGGATAAAGAAGTTCAGGCATATTTACGAACATCAGTTATTAGGCCCAAATTTTCAAAGCCGACATTTACTTCCCGATTTGAAGATACGTTATACTACAGAGATGGAGATAGGATTAAGCTTGAAGCAAATTTAGTACCCTTGGGAGATAAGTCTTTAAAAATTGAATGGCTGAAAAATGGGGAGCCTTTAGTATTAAGTATTATATTTTAATTTTGAATAATCATTTTCTCAAAACCAATTTTTTTAATTAAAATACTCTATAATAATATATAACTCATCATTCATCAAATAATTATTTTTTGGAAATTTTGGTATTCAAATATTTAATTTTTTTAAAAAATAATTAATATATAAGATGCTAGAACTCAAACTTTTCATGAAAACGGGCGTGTTGGTTTGGAAATATATCCTGCTGAAGTATTTGACGAAGGTATATACACTTGTCAAGCTACCAGCGATAATGGTTATGCCGCAATATCAACTAGACTTAAATATATCCGTAATTATAATATAAAAATATAGATCTTTTCGTTAATATATGAGATTCTTCATATTCTTGAATTTAAAATTGTTATTGATATTTTACCAATTTTAGCCGAAAGAGCTCCCATTTACCATTATCAAGATGGGAAAAAATTTGTAGAGGAAGAGGAAGAAGGAGTCGCTCCTATGCTAACTCCAGGTGACATGTCAATTAAAAAGCCTCGTGTACCAAAGAAGAGGCCGTGTTTTAAATCTGATCTGAAGGGGATCGATTTAGAAGAAGGACAAGGAATTCATTTAGAAGCTAAGTTAGAGCCTTTAGATGACTCAAATCTCAAAGTGGATTGGTTTAAAGATGGTCAACCTTTGAAAGAAAGTTATTTTAAAGTTTTTTTTATCTAAATAAAATGAGTTTTCGAAGCTATGAAAATTTTATATTTTTTAATTTATTTATTATAAATAGAAAACATATTTAAATAAAAAAGGTCCTAAGATAAAAGCAGGACAAGATAAAGGGAAAGTATATTTGGATATGGATGATATGAAACCCAAAGATTCTGGAGTTTATAAGTGCAAGGCATCTAATGATTTCGGGGAGGCAATCATTAGCGCACCCATAACAGTTCATCGTAATATATTACAAATGAATTTTTTTTTTTAAACTATAAATCACCTCTTACTATATTTTGGTAATGTTGGAGAGAATACTATAATGTATAATGAGTATAATTAAAAAAATGGATTTGGTCAATTTAATTCTGCTAAAGCGGTATAATCTTGATATTTAGTATCACATCTTAAATATTTATGCATATAAAAAAATAAATCATAGCCAAAACTCCTATACCCCAAGCCCCTGAACCAGATCAAGTATCAGATTATTGGTGGAGAGATAAATACCCACCTCTCAAAAAGCCAGCCCCTCTTTCTCCAGCTCCGTTTAGTCCCATTATAATTAACAAAAAGAAGAGACAACCGCCACCGCCGCCACCTCAAGAAGAAGAGGATTTAGAGTTTATAAAAGGCCAAAGCAGAGAAAATAGGCGATTTGATACCGAAGTTGATTTGCCCCCCAGGTTTATAACAGATATTTCTGATCTGCAAGCCAATGAATGGGATAAGATAAGGTTTGAAGCTCGGTTAGAACCCGCAAATGATAAAACAACTCAAATATTCTGGTACCATGATGGCAAGATTTTAAATGCCAGTAAGTAATTTTTGAAATGGTTTAAGATATATTCAATCTCTAAGGCTCTAATAATAAATTAAGATGAAATTACTATAGTGTAAAAATTACAAAGTTTAAATAATTTTTTGAATTAAATTTGATGAAGACTAATTTTATTTCATAGTATCACCTAATTTTTGTAAGTTTAGGGTTGAATTATTCCTAATTTGGTTAAGAATTGAACAAAATTTAGGTGCTTTAAAATTTGTCATTGAAAAATCTGAATATTGCTTCCCTTAATATAGTTTTATTAACAACTTAGAATAATTTATTTGATGAAATTATTGCTATAGTAGTTAATATTTAATTATTGATATTTTATAACTAATGAAATTAATACTAACCTAGACTGACATTTCATTTATTAAAACTAAAAATGTACAAGCAATGAAGGCAGCTATAGTCATTCTATAATAGACGTCATTGAAAGACATTTCGTATAAATGATTTCACATTTCATCTAAATTCCTTTCAATGGCGGTATATGTGCACATTTTAAATTTATTTTTATGTAGAAATCGCCTAATATTTCTAAATTAAACATCAATAAAGGTTCTAGAATTAAAACTTTGTTCGATTATGGAGTCGTAATTCTCGAAATAACGGATATAACAACCAAAGATGCAGGACTTTACGAATGCATTGCCACAAACAACTTCGGCTCGGACTCAACTAGAGCTATCTTAACCGTTAGAGGTTAGGAGAGAATATATTTTGTGTTTTACAGAAGGAGATAAAATTTTAAAACTTAATCACGAAATGAAAAATTTCCAAAAAAATTTAATGTTAATTATTTATTTGTATTTTAAATATTATATTATTTATATCATGCTATTATATACTATTTATTATACAAGTGTAATATTTTAATTTTTCTTATATAAATTTACAAACATTTTGTGAAAAACGCAATAGTATAGTTCACATGCTTTAATTTTTTTATATTCGGTGTGTTTTATTTTTTTTTATCAACTTTTAAATATGAAAATAAATCTGAATTTGATATCTTTGGTTTAATAATCTTTTTCTTTAAGTATGATAAATAAATTATACTTATTTGGATTTCTTTTATTTAATGAGATATAAAAAATAATATAGTACTCACAGAATTATCTCCTTTATTACTATTTCCTATTGTTTTTCTTATTGATTCAGAGGACGATGAAAGAATAATTCAAGATACCGGGCTTTCCTCACAGAGATCTTCAGTAGCGAGGGTAAAGGACATTGAAGAAACCGTCGAAAGAACAATTATTGAATTATACCCACCACCCGAAACTTTGCTGAAATCTTTCAAAGAAGATGATTATACTAGTGGACAAAGAATTTACAAAGTAGAAAATGAGTATGTCACTGATGGATCGACTTTTTACGACAAAAGGCCGATATTTTTGACTGAACTTAACGATGTAAGGGTCAAGAAACACGACACGATTAGATTAGAGGCGAAGGTAATTTTATTAAAATTATTTATTACTTTTGATTAGGACTATTAAAAAAAACAAATACGAATCAAATATGCAATATTCGTATCTACTCATTGCTAATGGTATTCTTATCGAATAAATTTATGACTAATATTAAAATTATTAATATATTCCTTCGTATATATTTTTAATAATTTTAAACAAAAATTGGTTATATTTTTAAATTAAAATCTATTATTGAGAATAAATTATTTTATATTCTGCACAAAAATAACCACTTTTCACCTTTTAAATTTTTTGTGAAATATAATATTCCAGAAGGAGAATCTTAAATTTAAAATCAAGTTATGACTTCAAAATTTATCTTTTGCATATCTTCTGCGTTTGAAAAATTATGGTATTTTAATATTCTTGTTATATTACTTTAAATTTAATTTAGTAAAAAATTTTAATTATATGACCTACAAATAAATAGATACCATTAATAGAATATTAGAAAAACGAATTTCATTTTTTACGAATGAATATTTGTATTTGTCAAATAATCACCAATTTTGATAAATCTAAGAAACTTAATCGGGATAATATAATAGGTAATATCAAAAACATTTTTCTTTTGTAATATCGAATAAAGGTTGTGCCCTCAATAAAAGAAGACAATAGTTTACAGGTCGGTTGGTACAAAAATGGTAAATTAATTCTTATTGAAGAGAGTTCCGAAAGAATTCAAATCTTTAATGACGCAAATTCGGGCTTTGCGGTTTTAGAGATACGCGATGCTCAAACTAGCGATTCGGGCGAATATGTTTGCGTAGTCAGAAATTCAAATGGCCAAGCTCTTAGTAAATGTAAAGTAGTTTGCAAAGGTATGTAACTAATTTAGAAGAGACCGGGGTTGGGTGGCAGGTGCTAATCTCTTTAGCGGTAAAATTTTTATTTTGTAGGATTAAACAACAAATTTTAGATAGCCTCATCATTAACTAGAAAGTAAATATTAAAAACTGAGCTTCCTACCTTTTATAGTGTGGCGATATTTAGAATTAAGTAAATCATGCTTTTTCCTATTCACAACGACCCTGGGTAAGATGACAAGCCATTCAAGATAAAATGGCAAATATAAAATTTAAAACACAACATTTTTTAATTTTAATAGATCTGTCACATCTATTAGATAAGCTTGAAACCCCCGACCAAGTTTAATCGGTAGCTTAGGCATTTAGGAGTTGGTGAAATAGTCCATAAAAAAATGTTTTAATTAATATGTATATATGTATGCAGTCATATTGATAGGATATATTGAAATATATCTTTTGACAAAATTTGACACTATCTCCGATTAAAAATTTATAGGCGTTTACCTTTTTACTCTACCTGCCGTATAGTCTCGGTCTCTTTCATTATATTTTTATATTCTTATAGTTAAATATATTATACTTTATATACCACAAAATTCGATTTTAAATTTTTGATCACAAAACTGAGATATTATAAATAAGGTAGGTTAATTCAATCTTTAACTTTTTTTGATATATGGAATTCAAGTTAAAATCTTTACATATTTATAAGATTCTATTCAAACCTCCTATTTCTAATAATCTATTAGGATGTTTTGGTCCTAAATTTTAACTTCTTTTAAAATCATTAGATCATAAACTAGAAATGTCAATTGGCATTTGGATTTTTTACAATAATAAATATTTTTATTGAAAATAATATTACATTTGTTCGCTAATTTTGTTATAATGGAATGTCATTTAAATTTATATATATGTGTTTTTAATACATATATTATAATCATATAATAATAATAATAAATTCTTTACAGAAAATTGTATAATACAATTTATAATTTATTAGATGATCATTTTGGAGAACCCCCCTTTTTCGTAAATAGATATATGAGGTTAGACAATTTGAACGAAGGCGATACCGCTCATGTTGAATTTAGACTTGAACCAGCTGAGGATCAAAATATGAAAGTGGAATGGTTTTTCAATGGGCAACCTTTGCAAAGAGGTATAAAAAAATTATTTAAAAATAAATATAATTATTCAAAAATAAATATAATTATTCAAAAATTAATATCACTATCCTATAAATATTTAACTTTGAAACTGCATATTGATGATAATTATTTAATTAGGCTATCGCACCAAAACTTTACATGACTTTGGTTATACAATATTGGATATTTCGCCAATTTATGCAGAAAATTCTGGCGTTTACGAATGCAAGGCCACTAATCACTATGGAACTAAAACTGCGGTTGCTGTGGTTGATTGTAAAGGTATTAATTTTATCAGAATTAATTAAAAAAAACATTTTTATACATAGATTATTTATAAATAATTTTTTTTTTTTAATATTTTTTTCTTTAATAAATGCTAAACAAAATCTTATAATAATATAATTCATTATAAACCAGGTAAAAGAGATGCTAAATGGGATACTCATATTCCTTCCCAAACTTCAGATCAAGACCAAACTACGAGACGTAGAACTGAACAAGAACAACATTGGATTTCAAAAGCAGATCTGACATTAAATCAACCAAAAATAAGACTTCAAAGAAAACCTGTTTTTACCACTCCTTTACATAAGTTTACTAATCTTAAAGAGGGAGATAGTTGTCATTTTGTCACTACAATAGAACCAGCCGATGATGATAGGCTTCAGATCCAATGGTTTCTAGATGGAAAGCTTATATCTCAAGGTTTTTAATTAAAAAATTTTTTTTCAATTATATTTAATGCGACTTCTTTTTATTAACTTTTTCTAATCTAAATGTATACAGCTTTGAAACCAAAAATACTATACCACACCTTACAAACTAAATATATTTTAGAGACAGCGATATATTATAAATTTTTATAATTCAATTTTAACATTTATTCGCGAAAAGAAAATCGAATAAAAATGGTTCATAACTTTGGATATGTAGTGTTAGATATATCACCAGTCAAAGTGTGTGATACCGGCATATACACTTGCGTTGCCAAAAATGACTTTGGAGAAGATACTGTTAGTGGTACACTACATTGCAAAGGTTAAATATAATTATAAAAAATGTTTAAAAAACATTATTTTAATTAATTTTTAACCTTTAACATTCAGTTTAAAAAATATAAAATAATTGTAAAACCTATGGATCTGTATGACGTTGTTTTATATAACTTCTAATGAATATCACTTAATAATCTATTATTTCTTATTGACAAAAATATATATAAACAAATTTTTTAGTGTGTGTTTCTAGTATCGTTCGTCTTTTCTTAAACCTATACTTATATATATTATACCTTTTATACGTGTATTAATTTTCCAAATTTTTAATAATATATAAATTATAAAAAATAATTATATATTTTTTACATAACTAAGACCGAACATTATAGCACACTAAATTATTTGTTATTATATATATATTGTGTCATGCTGAAACTTTATACAACTTTTATTCATTTATAAAATTTTAATACTTTTCTTACATTTAATTATTACAACTATTATGTATTATTATAAAATAAAAAGAAATTGGTATCAAATTATTAAACCAGCCATGTAATATTGTTATTTTGAATAAATAATTGAGTATTGGTAAAAAATTCATAGTATGAACATGCTTAAAACAATAACAGATCTTTTAATTTGGATAAGAAAAATTCACCCATGGAAATTAGAAATTTTAGATATTACTATTAGTAATTATGCTAGATCTTATAAAATGAATAAATAAATGTTCTCAATACATTTAGCCTTTGAACAAATTGCACCTCCAAAGTTCCGGGTCCCTCTGAAGAATTTAGAGGTTTATGAAGGCGAGACAGCCCATTTCAAAGCTATCTTAGAACCAAATTTTGATCCAAATCTTAAAGTTGAATGGTTTTTCGAAGACAAGCCTATACTAGGTTATTAATATATATGTCGTTATTTATTTTTATCAATAAACAATCCTTAATCTATAAAAATGAAATGATATATTTTGCATAAGATTTAGAATAAATAGATTTGCTAAAAAAAAGGAGTAAATAACTTATAAAACGAAATAAATAGCTAAAAAAGGAAATAAAAACACAGCGTCATACCCTCCATCTCTTTGAGGTCATGACATTAAGATAGGGGGTATCCTATGACACAGACACCTCACTCATTATGCTAATTTTTAATTTTAAACAGTTGTGTTTCTTAGTTCAGTTTCCACAATTATCTTACTTATCACCCTTTGTCCATCAATGGGATGCTTAATTTATATAAAATTAAAATATTCGGAGAGCCAGATAAATTATACAGTAAACTGCAAGATAAAATAAAAGAATTTACTGTATCGTCTTCACATTTAAAGCTAAAAATGTATAAATATCGATATAAATTCCAGTGACTATGTGACCGGGGGGTGGTAGGTTGGATGACATTTGCCTCCATATATTTTTCAAGGGGTAGAGAGTAGGCTAGGAAAAATTATTTTTGAAATAGGAGGTAAGTCTTGGCATGTTACCTTCAATTATTTAAGACGTTGACAGATTATAGTAATTGAATTATTAACTGCTTTTTTCTTGAATTATGTCTTTAAAACATATTTTCTAATAAAAAAAATCATTTAAAATCACATACAAAAATTCTACCTTATATCAAGCTCATGACTCGAATATTTTCATGATCTTGAAGATTTCGATTTTAATCCTTTGTTTAATGTTTAATTTCCACTAAATTTTATTACTTTCATCAATTTAAAAATATATAATCATGTATAAAAATTTATTCAAGGAAGGAGGGGGAGGGGGTTACTCTAAATGATCATGTTGCTATTGATTGATGCAACGACCCTCATACAATTTTAATGACTAATTATATCATATCTCCATGAGAGGGCATTGTTGAAACTTAAATAGACTTTCAAATTTATCTAAGACAACATATCCGCAATATGGTAATTAAAATAAATATTTGAAGAAAATAGAATAAGAAGCATCATTTTTAAAATTTAATGCCTTTTATGTTACTAATAATAATATTATTTAATATCATACACGTTAATTTTAAAAATTTAATGCCTTTTATGTCACTAATAATAATATTTAATATCATACATATGAATTAGTATCATTCACCCTTAAATTGCGAGAAAGGAACTAATCAGAGAAACTAATGATCATTTTAATTCAGGGATTCACATAAAAGTGTATATTGGAATTAAGGGCGTTGAATGATACTAATTCATATGTATGATATTAAATATTACTATTAGTTACATAAAAGGTATTAAAATCCCTGAATTAAAATGATCATTAGTTTCTCTGATTAGTTCCTTTCTCACAATTTTCTCAAATGTACTCATTTATTATATTAATATTCTTATTTCTGTTACACATATTACCTTGTCCTCTGCTTCTCGCACAGCTCAGCGCTCAACTTCATATAAGACAGCCAGAGTAATCACTGACAACTTTGCTTTATGCTATATCTTTTTCTATTAGGATTCCAACTATGGGGCGTTGTTAGCTTTTTACAAAAAGGGGTGTAATTCATTTGAATTAGGTGTATGATTTTTTTTACTCTTTTGATTTTTGTTTAAGGCGTGGAAGGAACTTATAGCAATTAAATGATTTAATCCCAAAAGGAAAATAATATTTATTTAAATAATCACTAAAATTTAAGAAAGCTATTTGAATATTAATATATTTTTTTAAATAAGGTGCCTAGCTAATTATTTATAAATTGAACACTAATATTAAAAAAATAGATTGCTAATCCATTTTTAAAAATTGGTGCTAATTTTAAAAAAGGGGGTGTTTAGCATTCAAGGCACCTAGCCAACGACGCCCCTGATTTAACCCATAACTCCACAGGCTAGTTCCTTCTCATAAATCCCCATTTAATATTTTTTCACGAAAGACTTTACTTATAAATTTATCCGTGATCTCCCTCTGAATACATATTGATTATCATTCACCTCCTAAATTTTCGAAGTTTTTCCATTACTCTTTCCCAACCTTCATTACCTGAAACAATAACTTAATGCCACTATAATTGATGGATTCCTTGGCGTCATCTTTACCCTTTTCTTTAAAAAATAGAAAGATAGAATCCTATGGCCTCTTTCTCTTATTACTTATTAATAAAAACTAAAAGAATATCAATCGTTTCATTTAAAAGTTTTACTGTCTATATCGGAATATCATATGATTCTCTCGCTTTTCCAATCTTCATCAATGCATCATTTTGGCCACTTCTATTGCAATCGCTTCCACTAAATCATACTCCCATGTTCCCAATATCTCTCTTACATTTTTCAAAATGTTTATACAAATACAAGAGTCCAGCAGGACCTGGCCGACAGTAACATCATCACTCGAAAAATATTAATGTTATATTTCCTATGATAATATTTAATAAGAAAAATAGAAATGAAATACACTTAAAAAATTTTATGGATGTAGAACACCATAACGAAATGTTGAAATAAATAAATCAACTTTAACATATGTAATAACTCTATGTTTTCTACTTAATGAAACAAGGTGGTGATTAAGTTGATTATATTAAAATATATACCAAATTCTCTTTTTAATATGAAAGGCTCAACACGTTTTAGGCCCCACTCTGATGGTAATCTGGCTACTTTGGATATAACTCCAGCCTACAGTGAGGATTCTGGTACTTACAAGCTCGTCGCTGTTAATGCTGAGGGTCGGCAATCCGCCGCGAGCGCTGCCACTCTTAAATGTTACCCACGACCAGTTCCGCCTCGCCCTTCATTCTTGGCTCCTTTGACACTTGCTTCTCCTATGAAAAAAGGATGGCCGGCCTTGATAGAAACCCGTGTTATACCTGGCTTGGGATCTGATTTGGAAATTGAATGGTCTATTAACGGAACCCCCTTACAAGCTCTTAATAGAGATAAATATAGGTTTGTCAGAGATGCCGCTAGTGGTTATGTAGGTTTGCATATTTGTGCTTCGCAAATCTCAAATTCCGGTCGTTATACTGTACTAGCTCGTAATGAGACAGGGTCTGACTCAATATCAGCAAACTTTGAGGTTGAAAAGGAGGAAGATGAAAAAAGAGAAGAAGCTATATACGTCAGTAGATTTAAGACCCACATTTACCCGGCCAAAGAGTAACACATCTTAACATTATTGTGAATATATTCTTACAAGGGATATTTTGTAATATTTTAAGGAAGAGTTTTATTTTTTTTATAATAATGGCATTTTATAAATCACTCTTATAGACCGAAAATATAGAACGATTGAATAATTCCATATTTGTATTCGTACGATTAATAAAACCATTATTCGATTTGAAGATTATATTTTTTGAAATATTTTCAAAAGTGAAAAAAAGGAATTATAAAATTTTTAGAAAAAGAAGAATAATAAATTTGAAAAATATTATGTTGAACGCTTATAAAAATTTTAAATGTTTACTAATAAATTTGAATATTTACCAATGATTTTGAATATATTTGAATAATTTCCAATATTATAGAATAATATGAATAATTCGATCGAATAATTTTTTTTTCATTATTCATATAATAATTGTTATTCGTATTCGTAAATTATGAATCGAATGGAACTGAATAGTGAATATTTTGTTTTAGTTATAACTCTTATAAGTTTTTAAAAGTCAAACTATAATTATATTTTACAATTTAGAGAATACTTAATGTTATGTTATATAATTGTAATGATATATAATACTAATCTAGATTAACTATTTATTAAAAATAAGTAATAAGCTATATATGCCATTTTAAGTATTAAAATCACGTTTACAGTGGACTCTTGTGTACATACACGTTCTTTTAAGAGGAAGAAATTTAGATATTTGGGGAGTCGTTATACATCAATGATCAGGAATAATTTCTTTTTGAACATTTTGTTAACTTTAGGTCAGACAATATATTTTAAAAGAATTATAAGAAAAATTGCCGGAATTCCGTATAAGAATAAATGCAAAAAAAGAAGCATTCCTTACATCATTTCTAAATATTCCATTTTTAAAAGATAAGTTTTTATATTTTGTTCCATTTTATCTAATATTATGTTTAATTATTTAATTTATGCATAATTAAACGACTAGAAAGGGATTTTTAGTTACCTCCCTTTTATTATTCTTATCTGGGTAACAAAGTTTTATAGGCTTTCTTGCAAAAAAAAACCGGTACGATTAGTTCTTAAAGAAATGGCCATCAACCAACTTACAAAAATAAATCAATAAAATGTATTTTACTGAATAAATTGTTTATCTAAACTATTATAACTATGTCAATGATGTGTATAGATATCTTTTTTACTATACTATAAAATCAAAAATATTTTAAATCTTTTTATTTAGAAAAGAAATATCCACGATTGAAAAAAAAGAAATTGAGGTAATGTTCCAATTATCAATTTACTTGCATGAAATTAAAATTATGAGTTTTATATTATTATATTCATTTTTTTTCCTTTTAACTATAAATGTCGACAATTTATCTTATCAAATAACAACTAGATAATCAAATATTCCATTTTTAATTCTTTATTTTATATTAGACGAAAGAAGTTATAACTTCTACCACTACTATTGTTTCTGAAGCTCCAAAATTTTCAAAAAAACTTGAACCAATAAACACTGTAGTGGGTAAATCAGCTATTTTTTCAGTACTCTTTAACGGAAATCCCCCGCCTCAAGTCATATGGAAAAGAGAAAATTATGAAATTCATAATTCCCCTGATTTTATAGTAATATTTTATCGATTTTAGAATTTATAAATTAAACAGTGTCTTAATTTTTTTAAGTGAGAAGTTTTATGAAATGTGATTTTGTTGTGAGGTTATATTATAACTGCATTTAACTATTATTTAATGCTACTCTGTATGAACTGTCTAATTCATTTTATAATTTGTTTATTTATTCTAAATACATATTCTACTTAATATTATCTTAGATAACTACAACAAACACATCAAGTACATTGATTATTAAGAAGGTTTGCATTGAAGATACTGGAACAATATCCTGTAATATTTTGAATACAGCTGGATGGGCTGAAAGTTCTGCTAAGTTAAACGTAGAAAGTAAAAATATTACTTTATACTATAAAATAAATTTGATAAAATTAAAAGCTTATTTATAATTTTAAAATACAACTATCTTTTAAAATAATATCAATCATAATATTATTTTTATAATATCCTCAATCCGATTAAATATGTTGTATGATTATTATATCCAAAGAAATTTTTAACTGAATAAATTGTTTAAAAACTTGAAGCTGTACAATCATAATAAAAATTAATCAGAGCCTCACATTGAAATAAAACGAGAAGATCTAGAGAGAACCGAAACAGTGGCGATAATAGAAACAATACCCACAGCTCCTCGAATAATTCAGCCATTAAGAGATTGTATTACTACGCAAGGCCAATCAGCTTTCTTCCAATGCACCATATACGGATATCCAGGTTTTAATGGAATTATTTAATAATAATATTTTTTTAATGAAATGAATTTAACTTTCTGAATCTTCAAATCTTCTTCATAGTTTAATTTAAAACACCCTTATATACACAATTTATTATTATAATTATAATTCTTCTATTATTTTGAAAAGCAGTTACAAAGTAACCCATATGAAAAATCTCTTTTACGGAATTTTCTTTTTTTTACTAACTTCTATTTTACTTAAGTGGTTGCTCTTATAACATTTTACTATATCGTCATAAGATAAACTTATTTATTGTCATTAAATATGTTTATCATAGATTTAACAACCTATTTTAATCCATCTATTTAAATAAATTCTCCCAAATCATACATCTATTTACCCCTCATCTAACTCATAAAGAATTCAAGTTTCAAAATATAAATATTAAAGCACCGCAGATTGAATGGTTTAAAAACGATCAACCATTGCAAACAACTAGTTCAGGTCCTCAGTCACCACCTTATATCAGTGTGACGGCTACTGAATCCAAAGAAGTTTCCGGGAATTATATTTTTACCCTTAAACTCGCTGAGTGTTACCTCGAAGACGAAGGAGTATATAGCTGTCGACTTACTAACCCATCTGGTAGTATCACTACCTCCGCCACTTTGAAAGTCCAACAGTTTAGACCTGATACGGAAGGGCCTTCTTTTATTCGGTCGCTTGAAAGTACAAGAGTTATCGAAGGAACCCCTATCACATTTTCTTGTATCCTTACTGGTAAGCCCAAACCTGCGATATTGTGGTTCAAAGATGGATCGGAGATCAAGCCTTCCTCTAAATATCAAGTATATTATTTATTGAAATGCCAATTAAAATGAATAAAATTTTACATCGCACCATTTGGATATTTTGTCTTTTATGGAAATAAAATTTAAGCATATAAATTTTTAAATTATTCCATTTTTTAAAAAACAAAATTGGTTTGTAAATCTATTGCTAATAAGAATTTAATATAAATTTTATTGATTGTTTCGCAAAATGCAGCCATCTGATATAGATGAAATAAACGTAAGCCGTATTCTCATTTAATTATAACATTATTTAATAATTGTTATTTGATATCATATTTTTAATAGGGTATTTATAAATAGTCACTCATTTTTGGCTCATTTAATCTCATCAGACGCATACCTCAAAATTTTCGGCTATGAACCCTCTCCATAATTTTACTTCTTGAAGCCCAATTTGTAAAAATTATTTTAGAGTCCTCACCGCCTGGTACCTAAGGATATCCCGTATGCCACTGATTTAATAAAAAATCTATTTTGTATTCCTTATCTTGGGTTATTGCACAATTTGATACTTTTAATTCTTTTTTTTTACAATATTCTATAAATATTATTTGATCAAAATTTTTATCTTTTAAATGACAGATAACTTATACGGGAACAAATTGTAAATTGACAGTACAAAATTGCCAAGAAAGTGATAATGGGACATATATGTGTAAGGCTCAAAACGCATCTGGAACCGCCGAATGCAGCGCAGCTTTGCTAGTTGAACGTAAGAAAGATAAAGGTGTTGTATTAGTTCGCACAGATGTTGATACGCTTATTACAACGAGCTTGACTACATTTAAAAACGATATAACTCAATAACAAATAAAATTAATATTTTTATAAAATATTAATTTTATTAAATAGCAAGCCATCAATTTTTTTAAAAACTACCTAAACAAAACATAGAATTAAACAGTTTAAATAAATCATTGTTAAAAATTAGAATCACATAAATATTCAGATCGATTTTTCTATATTGATTAAATATTTATTTCTTATTTACACTATTTTTAAAACATTTTTTAAAAAGATTCATATTTATATCAATATATTTGCATGTTATTATATATTTTACCTTCATATGATTTTTTTTAACATAATACTGCATCAAATAATATACATTCCAATTACTAAAATCGCATCATTCTCACCCCCCTTCCCCTTCCATTTTTTAAATTAAAAATCATTCCCACAAATAACTTTTATAACAAGGTTTTTTTTATTGACTTCGATCTAAAGATATATTCTAGTTTATTTTGTTGTTCTTACTCTTTTTGCAATTTCTATGAAAAAACAATATTATTCATGAATCTCCTTCAAAGGTATATATTATATATACATATTAAAACTTTAGATTATGGTTCAAATACGAATAAGTTTTAATGATTATAAAAAATTTTGAGAATATAAGACAGAATGATTAATCATTATAAATAAGTAATTGATCTTTAAAAACTTTCAATTGGACCTTTTTTTAAAACATGTTTTATGTTTTTACAACTACTTTGCATAGATATATAAATTTTATAATTACATTGTGATTCTTTAATAGGTGATTATTCTTACAACTAACTTTTAAATTAAGATACTGTTATAAAATTTAAAAGGTATAAATTACCCTCAAAACAAAATTGTTTATGCTTTTTATAATAATATAATATTTATTAAGCTAGGAATTCGATCTCTGGTCTAATTTTTTATTGATCAAAATATATTGTAAACCAAATTATAATAATAGTTGAATGATATATATTAAAAATAAATATTGGCGATGCTTATGTGTTTCAAGCTTAAATTAACATTTTGCATGAATATAAATACGATTTTTTTTGAATTTATATTTTTAAAAAAGGCTTATAATATATTGTAATTTTTTTGCATTATTATATATTGACTTTTTTTTTCAACATCAAAATTTCTAGTCATAACAATTTATAATTTATCTAATATTATGCCTCTTATCGAAATTTTATTGAAAGTAAATAAAATTTTACCGCGTTTTATGATTATGTTTTGAGAAGCATGAATGAACTAACAAATAATAGAATGTTGAGGAAAATTACTTTAATTATATATAAGGGTAAAAAATTTGGGTAATATATTATGTTAAAGAATTGATGTTCAAGTTCATAATAATGAAAAAATTATTGAATTTTGGCATTCTAAAATATTTTTTAAGAAAATCTAACCAAAAAGGATGTTATAATAAATATAAGGTCAAGGTCGAATACCAACCTCCCATTCAAATAAAACATTGCAATAATTTTAAAAAATCGAATAGTAAAAAAACTATTTATAGGGGAGAAAATATAGGATTGTGTAAAATTATCGCTATTTTAAAAATTTTATCCAAAAATAACAATTTTTTTTAAAATTTCTAGTTATTATCAATATATTTTTTATTACTGTTTTTAAAAATACTTTTTTTGCTGATATTTTTTCTTGAAAAGTTCAAATACAATATATTTGTATGCACATCATCAGACTACAAAATTATTTAGTATTCTAAATATAAAGTTAGTTAGTTACTCAGCGCCTTCACTAGACTATTTTCATTGAAGGCAACACTTCATATTGGCAACCCTAATCAAATTCTTTAGGAATAATTTAATTTTCTTTTTACTAAATGACTTAATGAAACTTCATTTGAGATAATTGATATTTTCCATGTAAAAGTTTATAGAAATAAAAATTTAAACAAATTTAGAATTTTTTTTACCTGATTTTTTTTTGCAAAATCATTTAATAATTTTTCAATATCTTCTTTTTGTCATTTATTGGCGGTTTTCCAGGTTAGCCGGGTAAGCCAGTTTCCCTCAGATCCCTTTTTACGATCTTGGACCTTGCTTGTAAATTGTTTTTATGTCACTCATTTCCATTTTCATATTTGTTGGTCCTCAATCCCTCTTTACTTTTAATGAAGTACTTCTCTTAACCCAATCATCCCCAGTTTTTCATTCAACGTGCCCAAACCATCTCTGTCTATTTCTTCTCATCACAACCTCAATCGCTTCTGCACCAATTCTTTCCCGCAATTTGTTGCTTGTTTTTTTATCTCTCTTTGACACCCCACATATCCATCTGACCACTCTCATTTATCCGTTCTTTTCAGTTAAGTTTTAAGCATCGCTTTCATCACCCCCATTTCGCCGCCATAGACTATACAGCTTCTCACACTGGTTACATAAACTTTTCTTTTCAGCTTCAGAGATAAGTTCTTATATGTTATTATAGAAGACATCTCTAGAAATTCTTCCATGTTTATCTTACCCAAAGTTGAGCAGGTCTTTCGGAAAAAGAATCTAGATACAGATTCAGATTCTTTATAAAAAAATGAATCTTAGATACAGTTACTAATATCTTTTTCTTAAATACACGATAATTTTAAATTATCATTACCAATTAAATTAGAATAGTTTATAAAATACAGTTTTTGTTATTTATTTGTGAAGAACATAACATACGTATATAATAAGAATAAATATTTACAATAATTAATAAAATATTTAATGATGAGTTAATTTTAATTATCAGGCATTTTAATATTAGTATTAGCCCATTCCTAGCATAGATAGAGTAGTATTGTTAATGGAAATTGAAATATTAATTTGCAAAAGAGTATTTAAAATAGATTTACTATTTTATAAGATAATCAAATTTTTCAAATAATTTATTATTAGAGCTTTGCCGTTTCGGCGTACTTAACATAGTGCCAAAACCAAATAATATTTCAATAGGAGCTGATGAAGGTGTTGCAGTATTATATTTTAAATAAATTTCCTAATGGTAGGTATTTCGACTTTCTTTAATATAATTTTAAACCTCCAATTCAATGTTATTTGTATTATTGAATTTAGCAACTCTTGTTTCACCAAATGTAAAATAATCATCATTTTCTTTATTAGATGTAGTTTGAGCTTGATTATATACTCTGGTACTACATTTAGGGCTTTTAATTAGTGATCTGCATCGGGCCTAATTTTTCAAGCCCGGCCCGGCCCGAAATTTTTTAAAAAGATTTAGCCGGCCCTGCCCGAACCCGAAATTTTTTTTAAAAAAATTTTTCGACCCGGCCCGGCCCGAATTTATTTAAATATTGAAATTTATTTTTATAATTGCTCAAAATAAAAGACATATGTTATATGTCGTTTAGTTTCAATAAATAAAATCAAAATTTTTATTTTACATAAAAAATTCTATATAAAATTGATAAATTTAGATATATTTAAAAAAAATTCCAAGGTCCGACCCTAGCCGGCCCGAATTTTTTTTTTTAAATATTAGGCCCGGCCCGATTATTTTAAATAGAATTAGGCCCGAGTCCGGCCTGAAGGGCCGGGTACAGCCTGGGCCTAATTTTGCAGATCTCTACCTTTAATAATATATTCTGAAATTATTTTTTTTAATTATCAGATTCAATTTCTTATTATTCTAGTTTCCTTACGGGTTGTGCTTAAATGCTTAGGCCTAAAATTTATGATGTTTTTTTTAAATTGAGAAAAGTTATAAGGTTCTGTCCTGATTGGACTTGTTTTGGAACCTAAGCTAAACAGCTTTTGAACTAGGAACCCTACTTTGGTTTGTTTTAAGTATTTTGACATAGTTATTTTTCATATTTATTTTCCCGTTTTTTTTTGTATTCTTGATTTTGTTATTTCGTTTTTTTAAAAAAAATTTATTTTGCTTTTTAGGCTGTTTAGTAATAAGTTGAACCAGATCACATCCTAAAGACTTTGTACATTCAAAGCTAAATTTAAAAAATAGCAGGACAAAGTATAAAAAAATTTTTGACGATTTTCAATTACTACAAATTGTTAAACACGATTGTTTTTTTATATTGGCCCCGTTATCATAACTTTGTCTTATGCAATAACTTAGGTATATTTCTAACTTTTCAAGGTCATTTAATAAAAATTTGCAAATAACCTGAACCTCTGAAGGTCAATTGGAAAAAATTTGCGATATGTTCTACTACACCAATCGCTATTCTCCATTTCCTCTTATTAAATTAGCCTGTTTATTTGTATTTTAATAATAACCGATGAATATTTTTAGTCTGCCATATTTGTTTTGTTTTCTTTAATAAGTTTACTTCTTTTTTTGGCTAATTTCGTTTGGCTTAATTTTATAAAGTAATTTATAAAATCTTTATAAAAAAAAAGGCAATCTTATTAATAATATATAATGTTATATAATCAAAACACATCTTTTGCTTTTAATTTTTAAAATTCACATTTTGAATTTTGTACAAAATATAATGATAAAAAAATTGAATGAATATAATAATATTCCTCAAAATAAAATATAATTCTATAAGAAGTTCATATTTAAATATATAGATATATTTATGAATACTATTCGTTCAGAATAAAAACTGAAAGGCTCAGATTTATTTTCCTTTAATTTCTCAGAAAAAAATACATAGACCATGTCCAGGTTAGATTTATTACTAAATAGCCTATCTTTGACGTAACAGTCAAAAAAGTAAAAAAAAAATTAAAAACTAAAATACAACAAAAATAATATGAAAAATAACAATGCCACCAGATACTTAAAACAAACCAAAATAGGGTGTCCTAGTTCAAAAACTAATTTAAGTCGAACCAGAGATACAGCCTTAAAGATCAGAGGTTTTATTGAATTCCATAGTTATTATTTAAAATCTAAGACGATTTTCGGAGCTTTCATATATTTTCCTGAACGATTTATTTTTTAATCTGAGCGTTTCACTTTATACCTGAGCAATTAGTATTTTTTTGGGGCTATTAAAAATTTTTTGTCTAAGCATTATGAAATATTTTGAGCATTAAGTATATTTATTCTGAAAATTTAAGGATTTATTTTTCTGAGGATTTCAGTTTTAATTCTGAGAGATTAAATAGGAGCCTTTATTTATTATTCAGAATTGTCAATTATTATAATAATATAACTATATATCTAAACACAATATAAATATAAAAAAATATTATTTTAAAAGAAAGCCCAAAAATAATTTCGGCGCCCTTAGGCAGCTGTAAGTACTGTTTACTCCTAACTGTTGATACTTTCTAAAATAACGATAAAATTTATTCATGAGATTCATTATTTTATCATATAATAATCAAAACTGTTTACTCCTAACTGTTGATACTTTCTAAAATAACGATAAAATTTATGCATGAGATTCATTATTTTATCATATAATAATCAAATTAAAACCAGATTATTGATTATTATGACCATAAAATTATGCAGATTCTAAAATATTATTACATATCCAAAAAATATCCCAATTATTTTACTTTTACTTTTTTCAAAACAATTTAAAATGAGTTATAGATTTTATTTGTGGTATAGGATAAGTTCTTTATGGCAATATATATGAATATATTTTCTTATAAAGGGGGAGGGGGCACACCAAGATGACATAAAAAAAGTCAATTTTTTTAGTTTCCTATCAATAAGTTTCTGAGGTAAATTTTTAGAACACTTGAAGAATACCGGTTATAGGAATATTTTTTCTATTACACTATGATATTAGATTAACTCTTTCATATTATTTTTAAGCATACCATTAGAACCTATTTATGATACATAGTAGCGTGCGTTTCAACCACATGCATTGGTAGAGGAAAATTAAAGAAAAATTAAATGAGATTATATTAAACAAATATTTAAAATGGCGGAGATATAAAGGGAAAATGGCTAGAGAATTGCTAAGATATATTGATATATTCTAGTCAAGATAAGTTATTCTTTCAAATCGTTTATAATAATAATGTGTCGATTGCTTATTGAGTTATCACCAAAGATGATTAGATTTAATTAAATTTGAATGATAAATTCCATTGTTAAAGTTTATACTACTAAATTCGTTACATTTGGGATTGAGGGGATTGAATATTATATGTAATAGCTATCGTTTTTGCTAAGAAATTCAACTTTTTAATACTCTCACAATTTCAATTCCTTCAAATTATTTATATAAAAAGTGTTAAAATTATCTTGATATTTATACCATTCTTTTTAAAGATGTTCTTACTATGTATTTTAACATTTTTATTTTTCGAGATATTTCTGTAACTGTTAGTTTATATCTTTATCAATCAGTATACTAAAAAAACATTATGAAACATATAACATAAATTTGGATAATAGAAGTGGAGAGGGTGAGAGCTAGGTGGGTTTTTTCCCATAAATTTGATTAGAAATCTTTGAGTCTACTTATTGTAGGCCCATTGCCTATATTAGATTTTTATAAAAATAATTTTGGGTTTAGCTTTTTTCTAAAAATCTTTTACTAATTTTTCTTTCAAATTCTTCCTTATAGATAGATAATATGCACTTTTGGGAGAGGGGGAGCGAATATGTAGGAGGAGGGGAAAGTTTTATTAGCTAAATGAATTTACGAGACACTCCCCCCTGGTTATGCGCCTTAATCATAGAATGAATATTTTGAAACATATTTTATAACTTTTGATTTAAATACTTTTTAGTTATTTTTTACAATTAATGACTTTGTGGTTATATATTTTTTTAAACATATAAATAGGACGCGAATTTGAAGAAAAGGATAAAGTAGCCCCACAAATTCTTACACCCTTAATTCCACAAAGAGTTAATGAAGGTCAATATGCATATTTTAAATGCCAATTTTCGCTTTATCCATATAAAAGTATTGTTTGGACTAAAGATGATATTGTTTTGCGAACTTCAATAAAATGTGAAATTTTATATGACAATGGCATAAGTGTTTTACGAATCATGAATGTAAACAAAAGTGATGAAGGTATTTATACTTGTAAGGCCCTTAGTGAAGAGTTTGATTTAATAACCGCTGCTAGTTTACAAGTTTTTGGTTATTTAAAAATTAATAGAAATAGTATTAATTATCTATTTTAGAAAAATCTCCTGAACCAATTCCAGAAGTAGTTCACCCATTAGCACCTATTATGGTAATTTTATATAATTGCAAAACATTATTATTTTTTTATTAGGTTAAAGAGAGTGAAACGGCAATTTTAAGTTGCAAAATCACGGGCACTCCTGAATTAAGACTATCTTGGTATCATGGCCCAACTGTACTAGAACCAATTCCTGGCAAATATGATATATCAATTGTTGACGATAAGGCAGAAATGAAAATATACGATATTAATCAGTTTGATCAAGGAGAATATACATGTAAGGGAAAAACCCCAAGTGGTGAAGTATCTACTTCATCTTATATTAAAATCAAAGGTAATAATATCCACGAAATTATTAATAATTATATTTTTAGAAACATCCTATGATGAAACCATTATATATGAAACTAAAACTGACAACAAGAAAATACAAGAGGTCTATTTATGCTTTTTACGAATTATATAAAAATATACAAAATATATAGATTGAATCAGATGTTGATAAAAGAAGTTCCAATGTTATTGATAGTTACCATGAAAATCGAGAATCATCTTCTGAGAGACCAAGGAAAAAAATGAGGGGTGACTATGAAGTTACTGTTACAATTCAACCTGACAGCTTATCCCCTTTTACAAAAAGCCCAAGTGCAGAATATGAGATTTACACAAGAAAATCCCTTGAAGTAGATGAAGAAGAAAATTCGATTTTAACCTCATCATTACATTCACATGAAAGAAAACGATCGGAACATCCAAATTATAAGGATATATCCGTATCTTTTCAATCATCCTCAAACACTTCTAATCCTAATTATGATTTTATAACTATTTCTTCCGAAAGATCAATACCTATCGTATGTCATAAATGAAATATTATTTAATCTTCACGAATATAGGTACAAGAAAACTTTAATTTTTCATCTCCTTTATTTGTTGAAACTTTAAAAAATATAAAACAAATGGACGGACATTCGGCATGCTTTGAATGCAAAATAACTGGAAGTCCCATTCCTCAAATATGTTGGTACCGTAATAACAAGATTATTGAAGACTCCAAAGTAATTTTACAATATAATAAACATAAATTTAGTTTTTCTAAATTTTTATTGAGGTGAAAACAGCAAGCGAAAACTAGCCATAAAAATTACCGCATTGTTTATAGGACTTAATATAAATAATAAAATAATATGAAAATAAGAAATGAGTAAAACAATAATTATAACATTATCATTATACAGCAATTCTTTTATAATATATCTTCTAATCAGGTCAATTAAATTAAATTTTACAAATTAATAAAGGTAGCAAAACAAGAAGTATCTCTTTTAGATAACTATCCAATTATGTTTTTAAATATATTAAGGGTTATTTGATTATTTTTTAATCGAGTATATGGCAATTTTCAGACAGAATGTTTTTTCAAAGCGGTTTCTTAGGCATTTTTCCAGTAATTATTTTTATTTCAAAACAAAGAATGATATTGATTTTTACAAACAGTTAAATACACCTAAGATACACAAACAATTCGGATTTTTTTAAGATATTATATTAATAAAAAAAATTAATTCGACACATTATTATCCTGATGAAAAAAAATTGCCTGAAAAATGTATAGGAAATCGTTTTGAAAAATTATTCCCACTAGCCTATTGAGAGATATGTTATAATTCTATTATAACTTCCAATACTTAAGCTCAGTGATCCCCATAGCGATGGAAAGGAAAGTCAGACGTGACCGTGGCAATAAAATTTTAGGGAGTAATTTTATTTAATCTTTTCAAATTTTTAGTTTTTGGTTTTTATTTAATTTTAATATTTTATAATTTTTTTATTAAATACTTGTATTATAGAGGATCGTTTTTAATATTAATTTTTTTATATATTTAATCGGTAAATATTGTAAGATAATTTTTTAATTTCTTGGAATTAAAATTACTTTAACTATATTTTATGGAATTCGTTTATCGTTTGAAGGGGGTGGGGTGGGGGAGAACTAAAATGTTGGGTTATCAAGGTCAGCGAGCCTCATGATAGGTAATGGGTATATCCTTAGTAACTCAAGGGGTTTGGGGGTCACTGCATAAGCTATATGGAAATTGAATAGCAGTAGAGTCTCGAGGAAGCAATAGAGATAGGGTTATCAGTAAACAATAAAACAACAAAGGAAAGTTTTAAGATAGGTAGGTGTGTAAGTGATTTCAATTAGCACAACTAGGCCAAGGGAGAAAGATTAGAACAATGAATAAATAAGATAAATATAAATGATTAGAAATAACAGAAGAAGACCCAAACCAGAATAGAAACAACTAATCAATGAAAATATTGAATGAAATTGGGATGATGAATGATAAAATTTGAAAGTGCTTTCCATGAAACTAGATTATAAGGAATATCTATAAGGAGTTTTTCAGAAACTATTATGCATAGAAAATCAATGATTGCCAATATAATCTTATCTTCTGTAAAATATAAATTTATATTTAACTTTCATAGGTTTTTTTTACTATAAACATTATAAGTATATTCTGGTTAACAAAACATTCCAATTCAATTCAATTCTATTTAATAATTAAATGAAAATGCATTGAAATTATTGAATCAAAATAACAATATAAATTTAAAGGATTTTAGAACTCTGCACAGAGCTGATGGCACATGCGTGTTGTTTATAGCTGAGTTATTTCCAGAAGATGAAGGTGTTTATATTTGCGAAGCAACTAATTCGTTTGGAACTGCAAATACAGCTGCAGAACTGATAGTTGAAAGTTTAATTATTAATCATATTATATTTTATTTATTCACTTTTACCTTTTTTTAGTTATAAAAATTTATTTAAAATAATTAATTGATTTTATAATAGTTCATTTATGTTATTTTTATAATAACTATTCTTAAATCAAAAAAGAATTCACTTACTTACCAGACAAAGAAGAAGCCTCGATAACACGAACTCAAACCAAATCAAAGCGTTCTCGCGATTGGTCAGATGGCGAATTAACACAATATACCAAACGCACTGAAATAATGACCAGTTATGAAGATAACACTTATGCACAAGTTTCAGATGAAGAATTAGCCAGAGGACCTGTCGATTTTACTCCTCCTGAATTACCCATGTATATAAATTTATTTAAATAATATATTGGGATACTGAACCCAATAGGATTTGAAATCTCTCAATTTTAATTTAATTACCTAGGGGTAATTTTAAATTTGACAAATCTGATTTAATCGGAACCAGTATCTCTGAAATGTCTCTACCTTATAAATTTCAGACAATTATTTTCTTAAACTTTTGTGTATTTTATAATGCATGAAAAATTTTCAAATGTAAAAATAGCCCTCATTAAAATCGAGAGATTCCAAATCTTCATAGATTTAATATCTGAATACAACATATCAAATCACATAGACCTTCATTTAATAAAATCAATTTTTTTTTCCACCTTTGAACACTTTTATTACATTGTGATAATTCAAAAAATAACGTAAAATAATTCCACTCTAATTAATAATTTTATAAAAAAATTATTGAAGTGATTTAGAAACCTCATTTCCATTACCAACTCTATCTACAACAAGATCTATTACTGAAACCCAATCAACGACGAAAGAAGATGAAGAAATAATTATGGTTCAAATAGTTTATCCACCTTTAAAATTTAAAGTTAAACTGCCGGATCAAGTAACAACTCATGAAGACGAAACTATAATCTTTAGAGTTAAGTCACCCATAGGGGGCCCCTTGATTCAGATTAGTTGGTACAAAAATGGGAAATACATACAGCCCGATAAACATACAACTTACAGTAGTGGGGAATCCGATATAGAGGATTTTAAAGTCGCCAAGCAAGATGAAAAATCAATTTTTGTTCAAGAAACATCCTCCAAAGATGAGATTTGGCAGGAGTTGATAATAAATAAATTATCAAAAGAAGACGAAGGAATTTACGAATGTCGGGCTATAAACGGTTTTGGAGAAAGAGATGACACATCAACCAACTTGAAAGTCGTTTTAAATTCTCCTACCATAGGTAAAAACACTCACCAACATGTAATATTATTAGGAAACTTAAGTCAATACCCATTGGACAATACGTATAAAAAACTTTATACCACTCCCAAGGCTTTAAAATTTATTTATTATTTTGTAATGAAGAATTGCTGTAAAAATAGATTTCTAGATTTTTTACATATTCTAAATGCCTCTATTCAAATTATTCTCTTTGTATTATTTGTTTTGTATTGCATTTTAACCTGGCTCAAATTAAGATAATATTAATTAAATTATTATAAATATTATAATAAAATTTACAACTGAAAAAAAATGCTATATATAAAATTAAACAATCGCTTATTTTTAAAATAAGGAAATATTTATAGCTTTTATATTTAATATAAAAACATCAACTTATATATAAATGCTATTGTGATGTGCCCTAAAATTATGCTAACAAAATAAATTTTGCAATAGTAAAAGATCCTTAAAGGAATATATTTAAATCTCTGAGTACTTTATCATAATTCGCTTTCAAAATTAAAAAAAAGAAGTATATTTAATTTTGATGAAAATTTTGCTCAAAAAATACGGTAACTCTTTATCTTGATCATGCTAATAATAATCACAGGACAATATAAAAAATTAATTTTTAAATATGTTATTCTTTAAATATTTTATCATAATAAAAAAATTAAAAAATAAAATTAAAAATATTAATTTTAAATAATTTATAGTTAAAACTAAAAGTATATATAAAATTAAACATTATGAAAACATTTTGTTTGTTTAATTTACAAAATTGACTCAAATTTTGTAAATTAATTCATACAAGCAAAAATATTTTAAAAATTTGTAAAAGTTAAAAATAATCTTTAATCCAGAGTTAATGAATTTTATTACTTATTTGTTATTTCTAATACCCAAAATTTTTTCGTGCTAATTAAAAACCATATGTGCTTATTCCTTTTTTTGCTTTCTCTTCACCATTTTTAATAACTCGAAATCACTGAAAGTATGACATCATTCTTATACTAATAATTTTTTTTACTTTACATATATGTCTTTTAGTTTTCGTACTTGCTTTATGTCTCAAATACAGCGAACTTTAGATTAATGTACATATTGCTACCCGTTTAACGGCGACATTAAATTATTCAGAATATTCTCTTTCCCGTAAAATCTCTGTTTTTATACACCTTGGTTATTCAAGACCAAGGTGTGTCTTTGCCAACCGCCAAACTTAAATTGATATTATTTCTAGTCACTTCCCTCAAAAAAACATATTTATTTTTCTAATGTAATCCTACGACTATTGAAACAAAAATATAGATTTTAATTGGTTTCTATTAATTTTAAAATTGTTAATAAATTTAAGAAAAAAAGAATAAAACATGATTACTTACCTTAATTATGTCAAAAATGAGGTGTAATCAGAAATTGTAGAAAAAGGATTTATCCTTTATATTGATGGTGGATGTAAAAGATAAATAATTAAAAATACAGTATAACCTTATTATAACCTCACTTGGAGAAATTTTTTAGTTAACTTTAGCAAAAGACTGCAACTAGTTTTTCTATATCGAGTATAGCGAATAATATTTTTTTGAATGGGTTTTATTTAATTATAATGCTATTTAACATTGCTACTTATAGTTAATAAATAAAACAACTAAGATTAATAAACTAAATTGAGATAAATTGGTATTAAATTTTACCACAAATAACACATAATTCTGTTACTATGACATTTTCTTGTATTCAGTCGAGTCGAACTTTTATTTTATCATTTCCATTTGGCAAGCACAAATATAAAAATTTTGTTTTCCTAATGCTTTTATAGATATTCTTTTTAAGAAAAACATCAATTTTCTTTATCTTCCTTTAAAGTTTATAATCGCTTTCCTTACAATATTTTACTTTCTCTTTAGTTCAATGTTATTTTTTCATATCGGATAGAACTTAAATAAAAGTTTAGACTGAATCGGACTTGAATCTCTCATAAAATAGGTTCGTAAAACTCTAATATAAATAAACGTTACTAATATAAGTTAAAATTAAGTATTTGCGAATGAAAAAAATTATTTATAGCTTTCAAATAAATAATTTTTTTAAAAAAGTGACATGTATCGTTATTATTATACATTATAAAAAAATAAGCTTATTATAATAAGACAATAATTAAGATATACATTCACAGAGTTAGCAAAATTTAATTAACAATAGCGAAAAGTTAATTATGCTGAACTTTCAAATTTTATTATAACGAAAGTTAAATATAAAGAGGATTTACTGTATATGTTACACCCGCAAATTTCTGAGAATTGTTCGAAAGTGATTATGGACTTTTCAAATCACGTAAGTTAATACGCCTTCGTCATATCACGAAATGTCCTATAAAATTTTTCGTATATGTGTTCTATACGTTTGGAATATATTTCCGGAAAAATTAGATTATTTAATTCAAAAATGCGAAATTAAAGATTTTAAGTTGCTTAATAGCACAATCACTTATTTATACCTTTATTTTACATTTTAATATTTGGATTTTGCTAAAAATGTATTCGAATATATATATATGGAAATAAAATACCTACCCTATCAATTTTAGAAGTTTAATCATGAATTTTTGAATCATTTTAATCTACATACACTGGCAATATGCGAATTAAGATTTAAATCAGTCAATACACGAATTGATTGATTACTTGATTTCACTATAAAATATAGATATCTTGTATTATAGTCGTATAATTTTTGAATAGAATGCAAGAAATAAAATTAGAAGATATATAAATTTTATGCAAGATGGAAGATTAGAAAGAATGACGTCATCAGTAATCTAGAATTGTTAGATTGTTTGTATATGAAAAATTTGGAAAAAGGATAACACTATATTTTGTTGTTTTCGACTTGTCAAAAAAAATTATCTTGATAAAAAATTTCTCTATTTGCAATTTTTTTTATTCATAAGACAAAATGATAGATGAGTTGCTATGTTTTTTTATTACCTGAGAATATTATCTTTTATCAGATTATTAAGAATTGATATAATATCTACAAAAAAATTTAAATGAGAGACGAACCATTTAAAAAATGTTGGAAATTCACCCCTCCCTCATAAGTTCACTCTCTTTAAAAAAAAATTTTTTGGATATGGATTTTTGTTGCTAATTTTCGATATAATTTCCCTTTATTTATTTTTTCTAATTCACTAAGCCCAAAATAAATAGAAAGTGAGGTGGCAAACAATTATATAAGTTTTCTAGCTTTTTTCAATCATATTTAAACATGCTGAGCTCACCATGAACCTTTCTGGCGCCGCATTGTACTTAAGACTTAATTTTTATAAATGATTTTATATTATGAAATTGAAAATGTGTAAAATTAATAATTTTTCCAGTTGAAGAATTCGATTCATCATCAATATCATTAGAAATTACATGTATTTTATATTATAAAATATTTACATTTCTCTGAGTCTGACAAACCCTATAATTTATAACTTCTGAATTATCTAAATTTATAACAATACCTCAATGTAGCATTTTTAAATACTACTATTTACATTGTTTTTATGTCATAAAAGCTTTAACTGTAAATCAAAATTTGTTTCTTATATTATAAACTTTAGACTTCCATTATTTGTGGATTCTTATACTATATGTTTGATGACAGATATATATTTTTTACGTTTTTAATCGGATTTAATTTATTTTACAAATTAAAGAAATTGTTTCAATGTAACCCCCCCCCCCCCCCCCACCTCCCCTTGCAAATTCAATGAAGCATTTGCTTCGTACTCAATCTGTTGTAGAATCTACTGATTGGACTGAACTTTTGAAATTTTTTAAAAAATATAGGGGTAATAATTAACACTCAAAATAATTCTTAATCAAATATATAAATTAATTCTTTTAGTAATATTAAAAATACTTATTATACATAATTTCATATGCTGAAATTTATATTTTAGATTAGTTTAAATTTAATCTATATATAAATCAGAAGAAACATTTAAAGAGTACAGTGTCGATATCGGATCAAAATTAGTAATCGATGTAAATTTGACCTCTTCACATCAGGATGACGTTAACGTATTGTGGAAAAAAGATGGAATAGAAATATACCCTAATGATCATTACGTAATAATTGGAAAGGCAGGTGATAGTATTTTACAAAGAAAATTGATGATACCTTGTGTACAATCTACCGATGAAGGAATTTATACTTGTTTTATAAATGAATATCAAATCGGTCCCAAAATTAAGATAGCTGGTAAAAAAAATATATTATGATTATATAAAGAAAATTAGTTTTTATAAAATCTTTTTTATTTCCAAAATCTTTAATAAACCTTCTTTAAATAAAATTTTAATTCTTTAATGTATTAATTTCCTTTTTCATTTGTTATTATTTATTATTTTATGCTGACCGACTGACATCATAAAGATTATTAAGTGACATTATATTAATAATTCCTTATTTTATTTTTTCTTCTACATTTAAATAAATATACTAATATAAAATTTTTGTTTGAAAGTTTTAGATCGTGAACCCTTCATCAAAGATGTCAAGATAGGCACAAAGTTAGAATTAATATTAAGCTTACCTGATGAGCCGAATACAGTTTTATGGGAAAAGGATGGTGCCATAATAAATCAACAAACTTCAAATTTATCTTTCATTAATGAAGGAAAAAAAGTTAAAATTGTGTTTGAAAAATTTGATCAAAATGATCAGGGACTCTACACTTGCAAATGGAATAACAAAGAAACCAAAATTAAACTTTTTGGCAAACCAGGTTTTATTAAATATAATATCATAGGAATGATTCAATCTTTTACTTTTAAATATCCATAAGCGAATATAATTTTTTACCATAATACACTCATTAAATTTAACTTAAGATAATACCCTAAATTTTTTGAGTAATTTTAATTTTATAATTGTTTGACATTTCAAAATTGCACATTTAAACATATCAAATAATTTGAAATCGCTATTTAACTATGATGCAAACAGAATCTAACAAAGACCACTATTTCAAATTTTTATGGCATATGGAAAAAGAATTTAACTTATAAATTTGTGATATCTATAGTAATATTAAAGTTATGAACATTATTTTCGTTAATTATTTAAAGATTTTATCAAAATTATGTCGGAATTATCATTTTACTCTGTCAGATAAAATTAAATTTTTACAGAATTTTAAACTGACCTTTAAATCTTTTATAAATTTATAATATTTCTACAATTACATTTAAAACTCCTTATGAATTTTTAATTCCATGTATACATTGTATTATATTTTTAAATATATGAAAGTATTTTCGGTGTGTGAAACACCCCGTGTTCAAGAAAAAGTTATAGAAGAAGGACAAGATCTTGAACTTTGTGTTTCTATAGATCCGATAGAAACAAGGACCCCAGATACGGTAGAATGGCGAAAAGATGGAATACCCATAAAGAATTTAACTCAATACGGAAAAAGAATTAATGTTGTTTCAGATAAAAATTATGATAAATTGTTTATTACTTCAGCAAAAACGATGGATTCAGGAATTTATGAATGTTTTGTTGGAGAAAACTCTATCAAAATTTCCGTCACCGTTAATAGTAAGTTATTAAAAAAATTTTTTTTAAAGAAAATTATTTATAATGTTTATTTTATTGATAGGATTTCTAAATATTAAACGATAAAGATTTTCAATTATTAAGCTTAATAATTATTATATTGATACATTTAATTTAAAAAGATTATTAATATAATTCACATAAAATATATCTATGATATTAGAATCGCCAGATACTATTCAAACTTATAAGATTATTGAAGAAGGTTCAAAAATAATAATATCCCTTAATTTACCATCAAAATGCGACTCATTGATTTGGGAAAAAGATGGTATACCTATTGATATGCTTAATCACTCTAAATGCAAAATAATTGTTGATGATAATAATACCAATATTACTATACCAAGAGCATCCTTGGAGGATTCCGGCGTATACACTTGCGTAACTGATGGACAGAATAACAATGCGCGAATCATAATCCAAAGTAATCGATCAATTTAAAATAAACAAATCTAATTATAAATTATTGGAAAAACATTATTCATTCATTTTTTAAATATATTTTATAATAGATGTACAACCACCTACAAAACATCTTAAAGAAGGATCCAATCTTGAGTTGATGATCAATTTGCCCGAAACACGTAATGTTGAGTGGCTCAAAGATGGTCGTCCCTTAACGCTTGACAGTCGCAGCCAAGCACGCACTACTCCTGAGAATAATAGCATTTTAATTATAAAAAATATTAAAATGGATGATGCCGGTGTGTATTCATGCATTTTTAAAGATCAAGAAATAAAAGCCAAAATTATTGTTGAAGGTAATCATATTAGATTTGCTTGTTTGTGTTCAAATCTTATAATCAATCACCTAAAAAAAATTTACTTTATACTTAGAGCCTTGCATAGAACCTATTTTTAAAGTCCGATCTGAGAAATTTAAAATTTTTATCCGATTGGTCAAATCCGATTATTTTAAAAATCCGAGTCCAATCTTTACAATTTTTTTTTATATATTGGATTGAAAAAGTACATTTAATAAAGGCGGGAAGATTTTAAGCCCTGAAGGAAAATATAAAACAAAGTTGTTACTTAATCTTGATATGGCTATTTTTTAAAAACATTAAAAAAATTTTTGTCGAGGTCTGAGTTAAGTCTGAAATATACGTCAGCTTCCGATTTAGGAGGGAAGGTCGGCTCGAGACTGATCGACCTTAGCTCGGTCGGATCGGACCACTTTACGCTGGGTTCTACATTAGGTTACAGATTATTTAGTCGGCAAATATCCACAGTAATTTTTTAAAAATGTTTAAAATAAAAGCGGTCATGTATAAATATACAATTTAAAAATATATAAACTAACTCTCCCATATCTGTATTTTATTAGGATCAGGGAGTTTAGGGAAATAAATTAATCTGATACTAGTTTGAACCACCTCCCCTCCCTTGGCAAATTCTGATTTTTGCAGCCTTAAGTTATCAGTTTATTCCATCAAAGAATTCCGCCTTCAAATATCGTATTTTTGGCAGAAAATTTGATTTTAAAAAATGGAATGATCGGAGTTTGAAATCGAGTATCAGATTGACTCAGGTCATTAAAAAATAACATTTTTATTTGTAGACTATGATAATTTTTTCTACTAAATAATCTAAATATTATATGCCTATAAGATATATAAAAAAAGATTATATTCGCTATTCTTGTTAATCCTTGAATCAATAACAATTTTACTTAATTTTTTAGGATTTTTAATTAAAAACAATCTTATCATTCGTTGATTAAAATCAAACAAAATATAAATATTCTAAAAAAGCCAAAATATAAAATTTCAAACCAAAAAAAAATATTTTGATTTTCTTTTTTAAAACAATAATTAACTAAAAACCTAATTTCTTTTTAAATATACCTTCGTATGGCCCTCTAGAAAAAGAAAAAAGAGCGGAAAGAGCTATTTTGTCAAATGGGCCAATTGCAGGAGATGATATAGAAATACGGATCACTTTACCTCATAAAGCTGCCTATGTTACTTGGAGAAGGGAAAATGATGGTAAAGTTATTAAATCAGATGATACGGAATCTTCCAAATTTACAATGAAGACTGAGAATGAGGGGTTAGTTCATGTCCTACTTATCAAAAATATCTCGCCCTGTGATGATGGAAATTACATTTGTGAATATGGGCAGAAGGAATACCTGATAGCAAATATTACTGTTAAAGGTAAATTTTAAAATTATAATAGTGCTAGATATTTTATGCTGTTTCCCTTATTTTCTAAACATCATGTTTGAATATTGAATATAAGAAATTTAATGATCCCAAATATGAATATATTATATAATATTTAGAATTTAATATTTAAAAATTTCTTTTGAATGACCTTTGATCAAAAATTATGATTATTTTTATTAAATTTAAAAATCTGTTATTAGTTCATCTCAAATTTTAAAATTTGAATTATTTATTTGTTTAATTAAACATATTTAAAAATTATAACAAAACATTTTTTTATTTTAAAATTAGCAAGGATACAGTAAAACTAAAAAGTTTCATATTATTTTTATACATATGTTTAGGTTATTATTGATTTATATTATATAAAATGTCTATAAATAGGGTTACAAAATTTTTTCAAAATCAATTAAGGACACATATTAGTAAAGAGTGGGAATGTGCGGGGGGGGGGGTTAATTACTGAAATAATTGAATTTCATCTTTTTTAAAAATAAATCTTAAAAAAATATTTAACATTTAATTGATCATTTTATAGAGTTACGAAATTAATAAATATTTAAAGTTAGTACTAGAATTAATTTTAGCAAATAGCATGTATTAAGTTAAAAGACTCTTTTAAAAACGAGCATATGTATCGAGATACTTTTGTTGTTGGTCGATACTTCGATAATAGGGAGGGTTAACCTGAAATATGACCCACTAAAAAATTAAATAACTATCAGTATTAATGTAAAGTAACTGGATTCTGATCAATCTTTTTTTTAAAATATTGCAAGTCAAAAATAACACTTAAAAAACAGAATAATATCCTATTTGAAGTTTTCTTGTATTTGATTTAAAAGGGAATATTTTGATTCTTTTAAAATTATACTTTTAAATTAAATATTTTATTTATCATATAATTTTTTTAAATTTAATGTTGCTTATTATAATGAGGCTAACTGCCTGAAATTAGAGAAAAAGAAGTGCAACGTTTTCATAATCATATTGAAAAATAGCTATTTTTTTGTGTTTTTAATTTTAAAAAAGTAATTAAAAATTTGTATGCCTTATTTGATAATAACTGAACATCCGTGGTGCTTTACTGACATAATCTCCCTATCTCCGGCGGAACCGATTTCAAGGTTTTTTCATTATAAAGGAAAGAAAATTTCTTCCGAAGTCATCTAACTTAAAAATTATGTTGCCATATTTAATATCGCTTCGTTTTTGACAGCGAAGAGAAAATCTATTTCTGTATTAAAGTTCAATAACTTAACCAACCCGAATACTCTTTATATAAAATTATTTATTATTAAAACTTTTTGTGGATCATTTATTATTATTATTATTTTGTGGATTAGTGATGATATTTGATGTTAAATTTAAGATCTTTTGCTCAAATATATTTTTTAAAATGCGAATATAATATGTACTTAATTGTATTTTATGAAAAATTTTATGTTTACGAATAAATAATAAAATAAATACGTAACTTGTGTTATTTTACATAAAATTTATAAGTCCTTGTTGTTACCCTTTAATTAAACCTATGTTTTTTCTACAAAATACTACCAACCAGAACTCTGTTTTTAGAAGTGGTTCATGTGCATTTATTTTGAAATTAATTGTAATATATCTCTTTCTCTTAATTATTCTCGATATTAGTTTAGTTTATATTGAATCAGTATTTACCTTTTTGTTTGAATATCAACAAAGTATTTATTGTGTGAATTTTTTTTAAATTAAACCAGGAATCTGAATTATAACGTCCACTCAGTTCAGGTTTGGGTTCAAATGTTTGAAAACGGTTTAAGGTCTAAGTTCGGTTACATGTAAAAAGGAATATACTGTTGGTTTGAATCTTTTAAAAACCAGTTTAACTTACCAACAAACATTTTTATCATTAAAACACATACCTAAAGCAACTAACATTTATTCTAATTCTATCATTATTGACAAATATTACCTAATTTAGAAATTATATAATAGATAAACAGTTATCTATAAATGTATATTGGAGAGACAGGGGAGCATGCGAGCCTTAAGGGACACGTCAAATTAAATCTACTTGATAATATTGAATAAATAATATTTCATTTTATTCTACTTATTTACTTTTATGCTATACATAAAACGATTTTTTTATAAAATTATACCTTTTAACAGTATTAATTTTACAGAAAAAACAATATGGGGAAGGATGAGTTACATCTGGGGAAAGATGAGCCTTCCTATGAGGCGCTTTTGAGTCTCAAAATATTTATTATTTTTAGATATAAAAATAATGTATATTATTGCTGATAAAAATAAGCCATAATGGAAAATTTATAAAAAATTCGTGGATTAAAATTGCAGCAGAATGGGCCAAAGACCCAAACATTTTAGATACATTTATTAGAAAATGATATAATATAGTTTCTTGCTCTTTCTTAAATATTTGTCTTGATATAGACAATTTAAAATTTTGTTGTTTCATTAATCTTGATATCTTTTTATTGTTAACCTAAGTTTATTTTCTCCATAACGGCTAGTAAGAACTGATTTTCATAATAAATGATTTCATCATTTGTTAGTTGTTTTTTTTAAAAATATTATTTATTACCATATTCAAATTTCAATAAGCAAAATTTTAAAATGATGCACAAAAAGCTCACATGAACCACTGAAAGTAGCCTCAGATATGATAGTTTAGACATATTTTTTGTTTAAATAAAAAATAATTTTAAATAGAATAGGGTATGATCTTTTATATAATATAGTTATTGGATAATTAAAACCTTTGTAATTTTTTTATTTTTGATAAATTACAGCATTTAAAAAAGTTTTTGAGGGATAAATCATATATTGTGTTATAAAAATTTTATATGTGATTCGATATTAAAAAAGGTTATAGCCGCATGCATAATATAGCTTGACCATTAGAGTTGAGTACTCTAGAAGAAAACCCTAAGGCTTGATAACTTCGGGTTCATAAGATCCCCGGTCTCCCCTACTTTTCCTAATTAATTATGTTAACTTTGGTGGCTAGCAACGCCGAATAGCCAAAGATATCTAAAAATGAAGACTGATGCTGTCGATCGACAATCAAAATTGATTGATTATATTATTTATAACAATTAAAATATCATAAGGTTCAACCCGGTTCACAGATTCTTTTAGAGGTTCCAGGTTCAGTTGACCAAATTTTTAACGGTTAAAAATTTAATTTCCTATCAATACTCCTAAATGTTTCCCCATCATTCTCCCACCCATAGCACAATTTTTAAAACACTTTCCAAACGTAGAATTTGATATTTTAACCAAAATACCTTCTTATACCCCCTCCTCTCAGTTATAGCCGTTAATCATGAAGACCCTGTAAAATGAATATACAAATATCTTGTATATGCATCAAAAATACACCCTCCCCCCCTCTCCCCCAAAAAAATTTCTGCTATGCTATCTCATTTAAAATAATAACCTACTAAAAATCGATATAATAAATGAGAGTTTGTACACTAATTATTTTAGACTTAATATTGACTAAATTTTCCTTAAAAATTTATTTCCCAATTCCCGCAAATTGAAATCCTGGTTATGAATATGATATACCTCTTAATATGTTATTATAAATTTGAATAATAAACATTATAAACATAATATAAAATATTAATAGAGCCTCAGATTTGAAAATACATACATTGGAATAGAAAGTAAGATAAGTCCTCCCTTTTTTCAAATTTTACAAATTCAAAAATAAAAACTATTCAGATGGTCTGCCATCTTTTTTTTATGAAATATTTTTTAATAAAAACATGCCCGACTTAAATTTTAGGGAAAAAGGAAGATAAATTTGTGTAAAGATAATCTAATGTTTATTATTTTATATACATAGACCTGTTTGCCGATGATATTGGCCGCCGGGGCGATATTTAAAAATCTAATAGGCAGCCAGCAGAGGGCCATTATTTAGCCGTCGTTGACATTAGCGAACATTAGCGGCGTAAATCATTGCATCGACATAAATTTTTTATAAAATATATATTTTAAATTGCAAATTAAATTTTTTAAGTAAAGCTAAATTAAATTAAAAATAAAATATACATTTCAGAAATATCGACATAATTTTAGATTGTTATTGAAAAGAAAACTAATTATAAATTCAAACTCAATTTAGTCTCCTTGAATTCAACGTCAAACCCTGAGGTAAAGAAAACCCTTTCACTAGTTGCTGTTTTATTTAGCTAGCGTGGAAAGATTAGAAAGTTTGATCCTCTTTTCTTTCCAAAAATTTAGAACATCCATATCCTGTGAATGCCGTTTGTTGAGAAGAATATGGCAATATTGTTCTATGCCACTTAAAAGGGAATCATAATTTTTATTAGCTGTAGAATGTTTATTTATTAACCTTGTCAGATAATTTGTATTTGATATTCTCCTGTTTTCAATATCTATTTTTGCTAATCTAATATTATCATACTTTCTAAGTAAATTACAACGATATGCAATTTTGCTCTATTAGTCACAATTTTTAATTTTCGAAACCTTGGGTCAATAAGATAAGCTAACGCCTAGTTAATTTTTGTAAAAAGTAAATAATTAAAATATTATTACTTTCAAATCGCTAACAGGAAATCGTATGGTGTATTTTAAACTTATTTTCCTTGAAATAACTTCCGAGCTATCATAATTTACTATTAAACGTATTTTTATTACACTTCTAAAAAGTGTAATGCCAAGTTCAATGTAGGTCCTTAAATTTCGAAAGAGCAATTAATAGTTCTTCCATGAGATCCTATTCATAGTTTAAAAGTTTGAGATTGCTTTCAAATTCTTTTCAAAACATTATTACTTAGATTTTTTTTATTAGCTCCGGATATACTTTCAAGCATATTTAATATACAATCCTATCTAGTCAGGATATTTAATAATTTTCTCATTTGAGTGACATTTATCATCAATAGAATCGCAATTTGGAAAAGGGTACCAGGGTATAGATCAGTGCTATCAAATAGCATATACAA